CAGGTAAATTTTCACCTGAAATCGTTTTACTTCCACCTGTTTCCTTTGAAGAGTTTGCACAATACAAAAACCTGTCGACTATTTGAGTCCAAGTTCCAAAACCCAGAACTGTTTCTGGTCTGGTAGAGTTCATTGACGTATAAATAGAGCCTATAGGATATAATGTTTGAAGTATTTCTGTCTTTAATGTTTGAAGCTCTGTTTTGTCTGCTTTCTTGTCATATAAATCTTGAGCAGTGAATTTAATATTATGTTCATCCTTCATGACATAAACATCTTTACATCTAATGTTTCTCATCGTCGTTATGTCGTCATCCGATGTTAAACCTTGTGGAAAGTTAGGAGGTTTACAATATATTGCATCCCCACCAGTTTCTTCAACCGTTCCTTCAATACTTTCTATAGCAACAGTTGTAAAACTTGTATGTGTATGGTTCTTGTCTGCTTTCTTCTCTAACTCATCGTTAACATAAGTTTTATCTGCTTTAAGGTCTAAACATCCTGAAACCCATCCTGTATCGGCTTTAGTTTTTAAAATCTTCGATGTCCATTCATGGTACCAGTCAACCCTTTCTTTCATTTCGTTATCTTTTTCATCCACATATTCCTTATCTGCTTTCTTCTCTAACACACTAGCCATAAGTCCCTTATCTACCTTATTTTCAAGGCTAACGTTTAAGTCTGTTATTTCAGATATAGAATGTGTATGAGTCTTTTTAGAATATTCGTTTTCAGCTCTTGTCACTTCACTTGACATTTTATTGTCAACATATGTTTTGTCTGCTAGTTCAGGATGAGTATGTTCTTTTGTTGCATAAGCATTGTTAGCTCTTTCTTCTTCTTTTGCTATTGCATCGTCTACATATTCTTTGTCAGCTTTGTTGTCAACATCTGCTTTCAAAAGAAGTTCATTTATAGGTTTCTCGTTTAAAGTTCCTTTTGTTGGATTTATACAGACAGTATGGTTCTTATTGTCTTGAAACAGAAACTCATCTGTCATTGGGTTTAATGTCAGTTTTAAGTTTCCTTCTTTCAATGACTCAGATATCTTAGAATAGTTTGAAAAGTTTGTTGTGTTCTTATTTAGAGCTTGCACAATGAGTTGTCGGTTGTGTTGTATTTCTCTCATGGAAGCAATATCTTTCGACATTTTTATTCTAGATAAAATATGCTTCCAATAGAAAAAGAAAATTCAAGAGTTGCTACAACTAAACCATTAGATGAACTTTTTACTAATGTCGGTCAAAAGTTTGAGACAGAGACCGTAAAGCATGAAGGCTATCGTTTTGACTACCCATTAAGATGGCTAAGAGACCCATCTGTCACAAAAGCTATTGGCTTTCGTAGAATGAAGTTTGTGTCTGTAGAAGATAAAAGTTTTCCATTTATTGTAAGGTTTCATATAGATTATATATCTGAAGGGAAACGAAAAATGTGGGAAGAAATTGAGCTAATACAAGTTGACCTTTCATCTTCTCTACAGACTGCGTTAAAAAATATAGAAGATAAAATAAATTCATGTTATGCAAAATATGCTGATGAATATGCAAATACCGAGAGCACACTTTATGTGAGAATTGTATATGACAAACAAAATTCACAAGTGTCATTTCAAATCTACGAAAACAATCCAAATAAAGACGAACAAATATATACAGAATTCACTGCAATGTCATGGTATTATTTGCAAAGAATGTTAAATCAGAAAGTCGAACTTCCTTTAGCAAATATTTACAGTCGATATGCAAGAGATGAACCATATTTATTTAAAGATGTTTTCGACCCAGCTGCTATTATTGTTCATGCTTCATTTTCTGGCGCCCAAAACTCTTTCTTATGCTTGGCAAATGACTTTTACGAAAAACCTACAAAGTTATACGAACCACCAAGTGGAAGTATTTCAGACTTTCAAGTATGGTTTACTACAGATGGAAGAAAAAGAATAATTCCATTATACCATGCGTTTTACTTAGAACTTAGTTTCATATACAACTACTATCGAACGGTAAAAATATAATTTTTTAATACGGTTGTGGTGTTGGATTTGGTTGCCAACTAGACTGTGGTGCAGGTTCAGGCTGTTGTATAACAGGAGCTTGCTCTTCTGGTTCAGGGTCTTTAGGTATAATACCAACGAACTGACCTACCCTTTTACCAATATTTTTGACTCCGTTCCAAATTCCTCTTCCTACGGTTTTTATTCCATTCCATATACCTCTTCCAACTCTTCTGAAGAAGTTTCCAATACTACTGAAGAAACCCATTTTACTATATGTAAAAATCTAATGTCCGCCTAGTCTCTTACGTTTCCTGTTGAGTTCCATAGCATTCTTTAACTGGAGCTCATACATTCTGTTTCTCCTCTGGTAGAAAACATATTCTGGGTCAACTCCTGTGTTCGCGTCATCTGCATAAAGTTGTTTATATCCCACTTCAGGGTTTGTATAAAACTCTTTCCATCTCATATTTGCATACCATGGTGGCAAACCTAACGCAGCGTCATTTGACATGGCAGTTTGCATTTGTACATCTGTTGGCACTTGACCATAGTTTGCCATTGCAGTTTGTATTCTAACTTCATTTGGAATATTCTCTGGGTTTGGTTGTCCAGGTTGCTGTGCATTCGCTAAGTTCTGTGCGTCCATTTAATATTAGATAAAAATATCTCTTACGAGTACATATACTGAACATTTGCAGGCATTGGTTCATCTTCATATTCTCTGTACTTTTCTGCCACGTCAAATAAATAAATGACACAATGGAAAAAACCTAAAACAAGTAGTCCGATTTCAAACCACATTTACTTACTAATAAAATTTCTTTATTGTGACACTTTCTCCAGTTTATAGGACCTCTCTCATATTCTATCTTGTCATATCTAAACTCATAGTCATGTATGTCCTCTAACCATCTCATAACGGTTTCCAAACCACTTTTATCGGATGTAAAGTAAAAGCATGGATGGTTATGTATAACGTCTAAAGTTTCTAAAGAGTCTCTCAAAGTCCAGTCTACTTGGTATTGAAAATCCCATGTGTTATAGAACGGCGGGTCCACTATAAAGAAAACATTTTCCTTGTCTTTATATTTTTCATACAACTCTGTCCAATGACATCTCACAAACTCTATACCCTCAATATATTTTTCTATGTCCTCTTTGAAAACATTTGTATAGTTAAGATATAAAACTTTTGACATAAGTGTTTCAATGTCATGAACTCTTATAGAACCACTATATAATAGTCTAGCAGATATACTATCCCAGTCTATATATTCTGCTTTTTTCAAAACCTCTCTCACAATATTTTTCTTATCTAATGGTATACGTTCCATCTTACCTATAGGTATCTTTTCTTTTAACGCTTTCAATATATTGTTTGTGTCTGGTATATGTTTGAGACGGTCCATATAGTTGTCGAAGTCATTGCATATAATCTTTGAGTCTGGGAATATTGTATGGCACAAATGGGATATATAGAAACTTCCACCGAACAAATCTACAAATGTTAGACCATTCGGTAGTTTCTTAAGTTCTCTCAATATAATATCTTTACATTTACTCTTATTTCCAAAGAACGGTAACGGTGGTTTTGTAAAATTCATTTATATATAATAATAAAAATGTTTTTACCCGAAAAGTGACAGAAAAGTGACAAACATGAAAACATATATAATTTGTGAAAAGCGACACATTATATAATGTTTTCGACCCAGAAGAAGGCTTCTTCCCAGAAGCAATGGAGGAAGAAGAAGAGTCCTCCGAATTCACACCAGAAGACTAACAATTTTCCGAATAAAAACTTCATTTATACTAAACATCTTCGGGGCTAGAGGGCACGAAGTGCCTGGAAGCCCCACTACCTTTTTTTTTTTTTTTTTTTTTTTGTTTCTAATTTCTTTTTACTCATTTATGACTTCATTCAGGATTTAAACATTGGTTTCATTTATCACGGATTAGCTGACATCATCTATATATAACTTCTTTTATTTCATTATGTATGGGTTGAGTGTAAATGTCTTACAATTTGTATCATTTTTAAATCTTGATTTATTCAAAAACGTAAGAATAAAAACCGTAAGAATCATACATTTTTTACTTCATATGTTAAAAAAAATGATACAAAATCGTTCTATATTGTATGAATTCTTACGTTTACAAAAAAGGTCACACAACCCGCTATATATACTACTTTAATCTCATTGATTTGAATATAGATGATAATAAATATAGTTGATATTCAAACATACTCACAATTGTATATATCACTTTTGCTATTCATCATATAAAAAAATACAAAAAAATTAAAAAAATATTAAAAAAATACAAAAGACAGATTATTTATTTAACAGCAGCCTGAGTCAGAAAATTCGGCGGGTGAATCTTCAGCAATTAAGAAGTGTTTGATGAATGGAATACAAGAAGAATTCAAATTAGCCGTAGCAAGTTCGGATTTCTGAATGGATGATTTATGAATCCAAGTAGAAAGAACGTAGGATGAATTGTATAACACATTTATTACGTTGATATCATTATTTGTTGATAAAGCCTCTTTTAATTGATTCAAAATACGGCCAGTACCCTTCTTTAACCATTTATAGTTATCGTCAATATATAATTCGTTGTTGCTCTTCAAACTAACTGGAGAACGGTCATTTGACATTAAAACTGGATGTGTGATTGCGAAAACACGTAAAGATACATCTGTAAGCTCTTGCATCTGCGATAATTCAATATGAAATGCACATTCTTCAGTTGATCTATGAGATACAGTAGATGAAGCGATAAAATATGAAAGATATGACGAAATGTATATATCAGTTGTATTGGCTATAGATATTTTGATTCTGCAAAGCCTTGCTTTCCATAGATCTAAGAGAATTTCTGGAGAATGCAAAAATGTTTTGCAAACTACATTTTGATTAGAAAAGAATCCGTGTAGATCACTGATTGTAACAGGACTATCAGATATTACATTGCATCTTTTAGCATCTTCGTTGATTTAGTTATAATCAACAGATTTGGCTACACTAATTCTATTTTGGATATCAATCAAGAACTCATGTTGCTGTCTTGTAAATATTGGTTTTGTTGAAACAATTCCAACTGATAGTTGTAAGTTTCCACGTGGTGTTTGAATATTTTGGCAAAGAATTCCTATTGAAATTACATAGTATTTTCCAACCTTGCAAATCAGGCATTTACCATCAGCCCATTTCGCAGGGAAAAGACTTGTAATATATTCTGATTGATCGAAATCTTTAGGAAAAGCCAACTCTGGACCATGTTCGTAATGAAATTGACAAATTAACAGTTGGACCTTATTTACAACAATAGATTGCGATGGACAAGTCGATGTAAAACTCTCAATACTAAGTAGAATATTAAGAGTCATTTTGTCACTTTTCTGGAATTTTTTACATTGAATATCGGTTAATTACCGACATACAACAAAATACAACCAGTTGGATAACAATTTTTTGAATTGCATTCAAAATTGAGAACAGTCAGATATAAATCCATCATTGCAAGAGCAGTAAATAATAATGTGCATGGAAGGAAAGTTTATAATTATATATTTTTAGTCAACAAAAACAAGAAAATAAGTTTTTCAAAAATAAAATTCAAAAAGAATCACATGAATAGTCATTAATCATGTGACAATCTAGTAGTATATAATGACTCTGGCATAAATAGCTTTGAATTCACTAATTATTGATATGATAATTAATAAATTGCAATTTTCATGAATTTTGCAATTAATGAATAACCTCTAAGCTATCAGCAAAGATTTGAACGACATTTTGCTCTTCTGAAAGAGATTTAGCGCGAGATGCAAATTCTCTTCTTGCTTTTTTGAGATGGCCTGCTGTAAACTTCTTCTTAGGGGTAAATGTTGCGCCGCATATTGTAATTGGTATTCCTGTTGGTGTTGTTGCTTGCATTTTTTCTAACTCTTGGCAGAATTGATTGATAAGCTGATCAACTTTATCATTGTAGTGAGCAGTCTCTGCGCAGCTTGTTGTGGCTTTCTTTGGAATTAGTTTTGCGTTATTATTATATGCAGCTTTAATTATGCTATCAATAGTATTTTCATCATTCACATCATTCACAACAATTAAAGGATTATCGAATTTGATTTTGGTTGATGGTTTCTCCATTCTTCCAATGAGTTTTCTTAATCTTTTTTCATTTGGGTATTTTTCTTTAGATCTGTTGAATGCAGTTTCATCATCAACATCACAGAAAGCAACACACCAACGGAGATGGTTCTCTCTTGCCAGACAAAAAATCTCATATCGAAATCCTTTGATGAAATTCATTCCATCACAAATAACAACTCTTTCCAAGCTAAGCATTCTTCCAACAGCAGCCTTAAAGTCACTTCGGCCGAGTCTTTCGTTGTTTGATGAGTCGAATGTTCCTGCTTCAACGCCTTTCTCGGTAACAATAGCGCAATCTTGCTTCATTTCATCAAATTTCTTCTTTAAATTATTAGCAAGTGTAGTTTTTCCTGATCCTGGAACTCCAACAAGAAGAATTAAAGACATTTCTGTTTTTTGAATAATAAATTCAGCCAAAAAAAAAATTTAAAATGGGTTACATCATTTCATGCATTAAATATATTGACATGAAAATTAGATCATATTTTATCGAGAAACTATGGTTAAATTCCCAAAGAACCCCGAAGATTCAAATGAGATTATATTCATTCATGCGCTAGATTAGTATTAAATGCATGATCCTACAGGCTATCTAGAAGTGATTGAAAACAATGATATCCAAAGAGATGCATTATCACAAATATCGATGGTTTAGTAGAAATTAAGAAATGTGATTGCAAAATGAAATATAAGGTATAACCATACGAATTATCGTAAGTATAATGGCTGAAGTTATGCGCAATGCATCAGTTTCCGTATGAAATTTCCGAAAGTATTTTCAATTCTTGAAAATCAATGAAAGAACATATGAATACAAATGGAGCAATAAGTTTTTTGAATCAAATTGAACAAGAACTCGCCATAACAAAAATTTTTATCCAATTTTGAAAAAACAATTTAACAACTTATAGTTAAGATAGAAAATAATCGCACAGAAACGCATACACCTGAAACTCTAAGAAAAGGAAAGAAAATCCAAACAATTGAAGAAAACATAAGGTCATAAGAAAAAAAAATCATTGAATTTGAAACGAATTCGCCACAGCCTAACGATAAAATCAAATGTTTGTTAATAGGTATTGAGGGTTTACTATAGTTAACAAAAACTTTTACAACAGTTCACAAATTAGGAAAATACCGTTGCAAAAGTGACAAATGGAGATTCAATCAATAATGATACAACATAGACTAATATTAATTATTAACTAAATTGAATTGCGTTATTTGTGAACCATATGTTTTATCAGTTTTTCAGAAATCAATGTTTGTTTCTTTGCTAAGCGTTAGGTTTACTAAGCTTGAACAGCGTTCCAAAGAAGAAATATGTAATAGATATATGACAGACGTCTCAAGCACAAAATATTCTCCTTGGTCAGCATCACCATATCCAAATCAATACTATAGCTGTAATTTAAAACCTTATGATAAAGTCACAGATGATAGTATAGGATTGAAAGAATTTAATTACATGAGATGGCTTGTTGGAATTGATAGTGAAAGTTTTATTAGGTATTATCCTGATGATGAAGCTGAAAATTTAACAAGACATTGCGCAGTATATACTGTTGAAAATCTACATTCAAGTAAAAGGCCAAATTATGGTGATGCATGTTACTCGGCGGATGCAGGAAGTGGTTGTATGGCAGCAATGCGAACAATACTTTATGGAAGTGGAAATTATGATTATTCAAATGCAATTCAATCATTTATTCGCTCAAATGATGGAAGTGATCCTAATGCCGTAGAAAATAGAAGGTGGGCCTTATCTTATTTAGTACTAGGCCCAAATTTTGCTGCAGCAAGGCAAGAACGTCACACAGCATTTGCTATGAGAATTATTTATATTAGTCGTGGATCTGATCCACATCTTCCATTTACAACATATCCTCCACCTGGATATTTCCCTGCAAGGTTTATATATACAAAATGGAGCTTCTGGGCACCAGGAATTCCTGATAATGCAGACTTATCAATAACTGTCAAAATTGATAATGAATTACAATCGATTAATGGCTATACAAACTTGCGAACAAATCTGTATTTAATTCATGCTGGTGTATGTTTTAAAGTTGGTAATTATACAGAAAATCAGTATCAAACATTAGTTGGAAAACGTATTGATGTAACCATCACTTACCAAGAAAAAATATTTGAATATACGATTTATCCAATAGATTGTAACTCAGAACTAAATATTGCAACAATGTCTCTTATTCCTCCTCCTACACAAACCCCAGCAAGGACTCCATCAATGTCACCATCACCATCAAGATCCCCTACACCATCTCCTTTACCAACTCCTGCAGTTTCACCTGTCAGAACACCAATACCAACACCTGAGATTTCCCCAGAAGAAACACCAATTGAAACACCATCACCTTCTCCATCACAATCAACAACAAAAACAATCTCACCAACAATGTCTGATTATCCAACATATGATAGACAAGAAACAGATAATCTTCAATCAGGAAACAGTAAAAGGCGAGCAGTAAAAATCGGTGTTGGTGTCAGTGTTGGAATAATTTTACTGATCGGTGTTATTGTAGGTGCCATTTTTATCAGCAAGACTATACTCAAGCGCAGATCAGATCCAGAGAGAAGTGAAACACAGCTGATGGTGCTCGTTTAAAGTTAAATATTTCTTAATTCATTCTAAAAATTTTATTTTCATCATATTCACGTTTAATCTTCTTCACAATATCTAAATTGATCTTCTTTTGATTCAATTCCCTTTTATTCAATTTAGAAATAATGAAAGTATCTTAAAATATTCAACAGATCTTCGTAAATATTATTCCTCCTTATTTTGAAAAGACTAAAATGTTATATTTAATAAAGAAATACCCTCATCTCCACTTGAAACCGAATTTTTAAAATATATCAAAGGTGTTTATAGTGTTTCTTTGAGAACATTGATGAGCATAAAGAAACTTATTAAAAATAAATGCAACTATCTTGATTTGCAATAGTAAATTTTTCAAATGAAAAAAGATTATTTTTAATTTTAAAACACGAATTACAAACTAACAGTAAGAACTTCAAGTTCTTAAATCATAGCTAATTTATCTTTGTTTTCGGAAAGTTGTCTTTCATATTCTTCCCAAGATCGAATTTCTGCTGATAATCTTTCTAATTGCTTCTGTTTTGCCTCTATTACATTCTGAAGATCATCCTGAGCACGTTTTCTGGATTCAATTTCATCCTGAACGCGATTACGTAATGCGATTGATCTGAGCTTCTGATCTTCTACACGTCTGCTTTGTGTTTCCATAAATTCTAAGAACTGTTTAACATTAGTCATAAATTCGTTCACTTCTGTCGAGAATTGATCGCAACCTGTCTTTAATTTTTGCGTTTCCTTGAACTGCTCAGGCTCAATCACCCTGATCTTGTAGTTGTTTTCCGGATCGAATATCACTTTCTGCTGTACTGAAGCTTCCATTTTTTATTAAAAAAGTGACAATTATGCAAGCAACAACAGGATTCTTACCTTTAACGGAAGAAATAAAGAAGAAGACTCCAATACCACTTGGAGTTGCAATTTCACCAACGACTCCAGGTATTGCCGCTGAAATTGATGCAACTGTCGAGCAATTAATTCGCTGTTCTGCTTGTCAAGGGTATTTATCACCTTTTTGTAAAATCGAAAACGGAAAATGGGAGTGCTCAATATGCCACACACAACACCTATACGAAGAAAGTGAAATATCTAAAGCTCAATTAGCAAATTCGAATTATCAAGTTAATATACGGAAAAATCCAGAAATGGGACAATTCATATGCATTTACTTTTCAACCGATTTTAATGAAAGTGATTTCAATAGAAATAAACAGGCATTAACTGGTTTATTGCGCTATCTTCCAAAAGATGCGAGATGCATTATATTTATTGGCAGTGAACAATATCCTATTGCTTTGCTTGTTCCACCACAAAAGTTTGAATGCTTTTCATTGAATTCTGAAAATACAGATGATCAAATTGCTCCAGACGCTTATTCTGTGACCACAACAGAACCAAACAAAGAAAATACAGAACTTCATGTTGCTTGCATCGCCAAATTCAGTTCATTTAATGCGATTTTAGGCTTAGATTTGGCAAAATTCTTCTTTACTCAAGAAACAATTCCAGCTGCCGAAAGAGCCCTTGCTAAGATATCACGTAGTAAAGATAAAACCCCTGTAATTAAGTCAATTGAGCTTGCAGGAACTCTTGCAAACGCATTTACTCCATCTCCTTTACGTTTCATATCATTTGTCGACCAAATACCTCGTACACCTCCAATTCTCGAAGCATTACGTAAATTCCTTGTTCGTCTCGATTATGTTGTTACAAATTACACAAAATGCATTCCAGATATGGCCAAAGTGCTTCAAGGCGAGATATACATCCTCTCAAATGAAAATCCTGGTGGCCAGGGAATGAATATCGCGAGATCTACTTCTGCATACCAATTAGTTTCAAGATGCAGAGGCCACAGATGCGCAACTGAATGGAAACAAGCACCTAATCATCTTTCCGAGGTACAAGAGCAAGTAATCTTTTTGCCTGTCTTGATTTCAGATAATCAACCTTTGGCTTTAGAGATTGTTCCACTTCCGAACCAGCCATCATACGTATTCCAACTCACTGCTAAATATTACATCAGCGAACCTGATAATACAGCTTTTATTTTCAGAGTTATGAATTTCGAAATAAAATCTACAGGAAAACTCCAAGAATACGTAAGTTCCGTAAATTGGAATGTGGCCCTTTGGTTCTGGATGCATAAAGTCTTCGAAAAATACCAAAGAGAAGCTGTATCAGCTTTAATGAGAGGAGCAGCGAACGTTATTGCAGAGGTTGGCGATGTAAGTGAAGATCTCAAGAGGGCGGTTTGTTCTACACGTCATCTTTACGCTTTGGGCTCAGATCCGATTATGAAATACATCGGAGGCCAATTAATGTTCACGACTGTTCCGGAATCACTTAATATAGTTCCTAAAATCATTGTTAATAACGGAAAGAAGATTGTTCTTTCAGCAAATGGAGTATATGAAGATTCTCCTGATGGAACTTCATTTTCGGAAGAAGCCATTGCATACCAGAGCAAATATCCTATTTATTTGCCAATTATCACACCAATTGATAAGAATTTGGCTGAGATTGACCAAGAATATCTTGGAATCTTGGACAAACTTGTAAGATCGCTTCAGAACTAATATTTTTGTTTTTTGTAGTTGTAATAAATATTTCTAATAACATATAAATCTTTTCTTTTTGTCATAAATTTCCGAAATCTTAAAACAAAGTTCTTAAACTATGTCATTCACTTAGGTACACAAAAATGCTTAATAATTTGTATGACATTTTTAGTTCCAAATTAATTGTCATCGTAAATATTCGTTTTTGGGTCAAGAGAATAAACTATCTGACATATCCTTGAAATTTGAAAATTCTTTCAAAATTTCATTAACTTATTGAATCTGATAGAGTTTTGCTATAAAATCTGATTCACATTATAAGAAAACTCGGAATTTGCGCCATAAGTCTTCATACATATCCTAGTATTAGTGCGTATTCTTATATAAATGTCGACAATTCTGAATTTAAGTGTTATATGAACGATTCAAAAATATTTTCGACTTATTTCCAAGGTTCTCCTATTTATAAAAGCGGTGGAAAAATACTGTTTGAAAATATATAAATTAGATTGAACTCAAATTCAACATCTAATGAGTTTAATTTAAGGATGTCGGAACTGCCAAAAGCGCAAATTTTGTTCATCACGAATTGCCAAGCTTGGCAATTCTTGGATGAGCGAAGTTTTGAAAAAAAATTAGTAAATTTTGCATTATTTAAGTCTGAAAGAAGCAAAAGAATGCTATATTTTAGTTTCTAAAACCAAATACATATAACTATGATATGTATATCTTATTGGGCGAAATATCGCCGGGAATTTTTTAAGAATTGCCAAAATGACCTCAGAATTGCCAAGTCTGCATCCTTATTTAATTCAATCAATAATTAAAAATGGTACAAAATACATATTCTTCTTCAGCAATAAAATTAATTTTCAGCAAATTTGTCAGGGGCGTGAAGTGACCCCAAAAATGTCGGAAAGGTGTAATTCTCTAGAATATGATTATTTCTGCTTTTAATGTCGAACAGCATTCGAATCAAAAATAATAGTGTTTTTCAGATCAAAAAAGAAAAAAGAAAAACGACAATACATTCTAACCGGAAAACTCTCTCAAAAATTGAATTTGAATTCACAAAGACAAAAGTATATTAAACCTTAACACTAGCCTTAACAAAATAAACTTAGATTCGCGAAAATCTTAGAGTATTGCCATGCAAGGCGTATAAGATCGATCCCAATTGTAACCACAGAAAGAACGACTCGAAGTTTGATGGTCCAGAGTAATTAAGGTGTTTCTTTCAACTTTATTCAATCGGATCTCTTAAAGCATCATGTCTTAAAGCTCAACAGAGCATATGAACCTTAAAAGAATCCAAAGTTCAAAATATAAATCAAAATTCAAATTCAAAATTATGAATCAACAAAGACAGAATTAAAACAGATGAATATATTACTTACCGTTTATAGTCAACAGAAGATTCTTTAAAAAAAATTAAAAAAAAATAGATAAAAGAGAAAATCTCCTATAATCATTTTATTTCATCAAGTCTAATCGCTTTCGACCTGTCTTTTTCTGACTAATGTCGCATTTCAATTAGTAAGATTTTAAAAAATCAAAAGCACCATGTATAGTCATCTAACTTGCATTTTATTATTCAGTGTGCTAACTATTTATCACCTAAGTCTGAGAAATCTTTTAGTTTTCAAAAAAGAATTATATTTCCAAAAATATTTTCATTCAGACACTTCCGATGATATCTGGAATGATCTAGATAGCTTGAACTACACAAAAATTTCATCCATCGCGCAATATTTTGTTCATGATGCCATTTTTAGTGAATCAGACCCGGAAAGTAGCATTATCTATTTGAACGGAACTACTAATTCTAAGCTCCTCGTTTATAATACAATTTTCGATTCAATAAAACTGAAATATACAAATGGTGGCTGCATTTATAAAAAACGAGGCTCATGTTTCCAATATCGAGTTTGTGCTATTAATCCAAAAACTACCTCAGATTCAAGCTATAATCCATATGCTTACATTGAATTGGATGATTCTCTTTCAAGTAAAAATTACATGAAGGAAGTATCTATATTTGGAGCAGGTAAACAATCGGCACCAACAAATCATAGATTCGGAGAAATGATCTTTAATAACGTAAATATCTCTAATTCAGATACAGATCATCATGCAACATATGCGCTTAGAGGATCAAAATTTAGTACAAACTGTATATCATACTGTCAATTTTTGAGCAATTCATGTTCTGTTACAGTATGTCTTCATCACTATGGTTTAACCATGCAGCTGAAATACTCAATTATTGATAGTAATAAATGTAGTCCGACCAATAGTAATGCAAATGGAGTAATACATGCATATTATACTACTCTAACATTCCAAAACTGTAAAATTACAAATAATCAAGGATATTCTTTATTTTATACTGAAAGTTCAACTATTAAAGTTGAATCATGTTATTTGGCCCGAAATCCAAATACTAATAGTGCAACAATTACAAGTACTTTAAACTCATTAAATATTCCAATGAACTCAGATGAAACATATAAATGCAGAATTTTTTACGATCCTTCTATCATTATCAAAAGTTTTCAGATCCAAAACAAGCTTATTTATAAACAAACAGGTTGGAAAATTCAAGGGAGTATAGTTTTTCTATCCAACTCTAAAATCAATACAGTTACTGTTAAACCATGGATTGAAACCAGCCAACAACTAGAGAAAACTTATGCTAATCTGAATTCAAATAACTTTTCCTTTAGTCTCACAAATATAAATAACATTGCATTAGGTAACCACAAATTAGCTATTAAATTAAAATCCGGCAATTATGAATCAAATGAAATTTCAGATTCGTTTACTTTGATTGACAATTTAACGATAAATATAGGAAATGTTTTTCACAATAATGCGTATGTTGCCATATCAGGAAAGATTATATATAGTACAGTAAACTACAACATCGAATTAACTGCATCAATTGATTCGCAATATTCGGCCAAAATTAATTTTGTTCCTGATCAAAATGAAATGGAAAATCCATTTTCAATTGCCTTACAGACTTCTAAAGAATTAACACCAGGAAAACATACAATACATGTAAAAGCTTACCAAAAAGATGTTGACAAATATGTAGGTGAAGCTCAATTCGTTTTTATAGTAACTTCACAGGAAGAACCTTCAAAGGAGAAAACTTCAAAAGTAGAAACGACTTCATGCCTAGAAAAATACACTATTTTGAAGAATATTCGCCGCTAACGAAATATCAAAATTAAACTAAAAAAATTACATTTTTAACCCAATATTTGCTGAGTTGGATTTTTATATAACAACAATATTTTCGGCTTATTGTCGAGGTTCTCCTATTTATAAAAGCAGGGGAAAAAATGTTTGAAAATTTAAATATAAATCAAATTCAATATCTTCTGCTGACTTTTCAAATTTTGTTTCATCTTCACTTTTTTTCAATATCACAGCATCAAGAAAATGTCTTTGTCACATTTCAATAGATATAAAACTGGATAATTTAATTATTAAGAATAATAATTGCGCACGAGAAGATGATAAAGAAAATGGAATAATATCAGCAAGTGATAGCTCAAATGTACAAATAAAAAATTTTTAACGCGATTATAATTCTAGGATTATAAAATTGGATTACTGTGTTAATATTATGGTGAAAATACAAAACACTGTATTTATAGAAACTAAAGAAGCAAGGTCTTCATTTGATATTACTTTCAAGTACTATGATACATTTCTATGTAAATCATTCTATAAATCTGCAATTCATTTCAACCAAGTTGAAATTCTTCAAATTATTGTCAAAAAAGCAAGAAAATACAAGAATTTCAATAAGTGTTCAATTTACTTGTAGTACATACCAACAGCATGTATGCTTAATTACATGGTTTGATGATTTTATTCAAGTGAAAAATCAAACATTTTTAAATGTATCTCAAAGATTAGTTGATAATGAAATTGAAAATCCAGATGATTTTTCATTTGGACAGCATGTATTAAATGTAATTATAAGGGATTCAGATAGCATTGAGTCTAACACGGTTTCAAAAGCATTTATTGTAATACGCAATGTAACTATATCATTGACAAAAGTGTTACATAACAAAGAATATTTTGTAATAATAGGAAATATTGTTTTTGATAGAATTAGCTATGATATTATGTTAATTGTATCAATGCTCGATAGTGATCTAGCTCGATCTAAAATAAATGAAGATCAGCATGAATTTACTAAGCCATTCAAAGTAAATTTTTCAATTCTTAGAAATCTTACTATTGGAAAAAATAGTATCAAGATAAGAACACTGCATCAAGAAATTGAAGGTAAATGTTACTACGTATTTTATTGTCATCCAAAAGAAACTTCGCTTCGATCTGGATTCTTCAAAAGTAGACAGAGATAAGGCTCTTACCATAATGAGTTAACTCAATCAATAATTAAGAATGGGAAAAAAATTACATATTCCTCTTCAGCAATAAAATTTGTTTTTCCTGAAGATGTTAATTAAAGAGCAGTAACTTTAGAGCCAAAAATCGCGGATATGTGATCAGTTATATTAATATATGTATATAAAAGATTGATTTGTTTTGTTATTCTTTCTTTTGGCAAATGTTTTTCATATTATGATTGAATTGAAATTTCTTTTATTGCATTTTAGTTTTTTATTCTATAATTAAGCCATTTAAGATCATTGGTCCATATCCGTTAAGTATAATTTGAAACTATTCATTAAAAAAGAAAGTTAATTATGATAAGTATGGCAATGTAAAAAGAAGAAGAACTATTTGAGGACTAAATTTATAACTTAGGGCGCATATCGAGATGACAATACGAAATTGACAATTCAAATACAGAATCTGAATGTAGTTAAGATTACAAAATCTTATCGAAGCATCGTAATTTAAGGTAACTAAATGAGTAAAAATGCAAAAACAAAATCGACGATACATCTTAACCCCAAAACTCTCTCAAAAATTGAATATGAATTCACAAAAACAAAAGTTTAATAAATCCTTACACTAACTTCAACAAAATAAACTTAAATTCACGAAAGTCTAAAATATTGTCATACGTGGCATGTTACATCGATCCCGATTGTAACCACAGGAAAAACGACTAGAAATTGGATTGTCCAAAGTAATTAAGGTATTTCTTTCAACTTTCTTCAATTGAATCCCTTGAAGAATTATATATTTAAACTCAACAGAGCATATTACCTTAAAAGAATTCAAAATTCAAAATATAAATCAAAATTCAAATTCAAAATTATGAAGAAACAAAGACAGAATTAAAACAAATGAATTCGTTTCTTACAATTTATTGCCTACTGAAGATTCTTTAAAAAAAAATTAAAAAAAATAGATAAAAGAAGAAAGTTCCTTTAATCATTTGATTTCGTCAAGTCTAGGCTTATTCAACCTGTCTTTTTCTGACTAATGTCACCTTTTTATTTAGTAAAATTTTAAAAATTCAACAGCACCATGTACAACCATCTAACTTGCATTTTCATATTCAGTATGCTAACTATTTATCATCTAAGTCTGGAAAATCTTTTATTTTGCAATAAAAAATTATATTTCCAAAAATATTTTCATTCAGACACTTCTGATGATATCTGGAATGATCTAGATAGCTTAAACTACACAAAAATTTCATCTGATGGAAGATATTTTGTTCATGATACAATTTTTACTAGTTCAAAAAATAAAACTAGCATTATCTATCTGGATGGAACTAATATTACTGAGCTTATTGTTTATAATACAATTTTTGATTCAATAAAATTGAAAAATGGAAATGGCGGCTGCATTCATCAAAGTCGAGGCTCATGTTTCCAATATCGAGTTTGTGCTATTAATCCAAAAACTATCTCAACTTCAAGCGAAAATCCATATGATTACATTGAATTGGATGATCCTACTTCAAGGAAAAATTACATGAGAGAAGTTTCTATATCTGGAGCAAGTAAATATGGGGCACCAACATTTCATAAAAAAGGAGAAATAATCTTTAAAAACGTCAATATATCTAATACTGAAACAACTTATTATTAAATACTCTAATTTTGATACAAATTGTATATCATACTGTCAATTTTTGAACAATTCATGTTCTAATAAAATATGTCTTTATCACTATGGTTTAACCATGCTGCTGAAACACTCAATTATTGATAGAAACAAATGTAATCTGACCAATAGATTTGCAAATGGAGTAATATTTGCAGAGCATACTACTCTAACAATCAAAAACTGTACAATCACACAAAATCAAGGATATTCTTTATTTTCTCCTTATAGTTCAACTATTAATGTTGATTCAAGTTATTTAGATGAAAATCCAAATACTGAAAATGTAACAATTAAAAATACTGTAAACTCATTTGATATTCCAATGAACTCATATGATACATATAAATGCAGAATTTTTTACGATCCTTATATCATTATCAAAAGTTTCCAGATTCAAAATAAGCTTATTTATAAACAAACAGGTTCAATAATTCAAGGGAGTGGAGTTTTTCTATCCAACTCTAAAATCAATACGGTTACTGTAATATCATCGATTGGTCAACAAGAGAATATCAATGTGGATTCGAATAACTTTTCCTTTAATCTCAACATTACAGATTCCCTTGAATTAGGTACCCAAACTTTAGCTATTAAATTAAAATTCGACAATTATGAATCAAATGAAATTTCAGATTCGTTAACTTTAATTGGCAATTTAACGATAAATATAACAAAGGTTTTCCACAATGAAACGTATGTAGCCATATCAGGAGAGATTATATATAGTACAGTAAACTACAACATCGAATTAACTGCATCAATTGATTCAACTGATGAAGCCAAAATTAATTTTGTTCCTGATCAAAATGAATTGACAAAGCCATTTTCAATTGCCATACAGATTTCTAATGAATTACAACCAGGAAATCATACAATACATTTAAAAGCTTACCAAAGCGATGTTGACAAATATATAGGTGAAGCTCAATTTGATTACACAGTAACTTCACAAGAAGACCCTTCAACGGAAGAACCTTCACAAGAAGAGCCTTCACAAGAAGACCCTTCACAAGTAGAACCTTCAAAGGAAGCGCCTTCAAAAGTAGAAACGACTCCGTTCCAAGAAAAATACTTTATTTCCAAGTATCTTCGCCGCTAAAGAAGTATCAAAAATCAACTAATATTTACCCTTTTTACCAGTTATATGATGATTTCGATTTTTATATAACAAAACATCGGATTTAATGAGAAAATGCGACAATATAACAACTAGAAAAGAATAGACAGGTTAAATAGCAACAAATATTTTTCTGTCTATTCTATTCAATGCTCAATTTTAAGTTTCCTTTAAAATAGAACTAATCATTGAAAACTATGACAAAAATTCATATTTCTTCAAACGAGTTCAGAGAATTGATCCAAAGCTCAATTCTCTAAAAAAATCCAGAAAAATATGTTAATTCTTTTGCAATTCAAATTTTGGGATCTTTTAACGTTCAGAATAATTAGAATTGCAACATATTAAAGAATTTCTTTGCAATTTGTTGTCAGAACTCAAACCAAAGAAAATATGAAATTATTTGTTTATAATTTGTTTAACCTGAATCGTTTGGACTGTATCATGATATTTTAAAAAATGTTAAGTTATTCTTTTCTCTATAGAATTAAAATTTTTTTACATTATTTTAGAAACAAAAATGATTCACAAACATAAATAATTCCACAACAAAAACAATATCTAATTTAAGATGTCTGACCACTTTCTTCAGTCAATCCAAGCATGTCTACAACGCATCCGAGAGCTGCAACAGATTCTGAGTAATCAACATAAGTAACAGGTCTAATTGACTGTATATATTTACCAAAACCTGGAAAACTCCATGGAGCCGAGACAATTGACTCGTTTTCTTCAGGATCGTACTGTAATTGTTCGTCATTTCCAGCAATTCCAATTGCAAACTGATGCTGGGTAGAGAGGACACAAAGGAATGCTCTGTAAAGTGCTCTGACAGCTGGAGAAAGTTCTTGGTCGACAATTGCGGCCGCAGTAAGGTAAACAAGCCGAGATTGAACGTGTAACTTGTCTCTTAGTGTCCAAATAAGAAGAACCTGTAAGGCAGCTGCGGCTACGAACTCCGTTTTGTCAAAACTTAATTTGATAATCGTTTGAACTGAAGAAGAAGCCTGGGAAGCCTTTGCAAAGGATATTGCAAGACAGTATAAGAACTGTAGTGAAGGATTCGTCTCTGAATTGATCTTTTCTTGGCATTTTGCAACAGTTTGTTGAGTTAATAGGAATTGCTTAGGAGCTAGGTTATGTGTCCAGTCTACTTCTGAAAGTCCTTTATTAAATGAAGTGTTTGGAAGAAGCAAAGCTGTAATTCCACGTTCTGTTCCCCAAATGACGGGCCATGTATCAAAAATCGAATGAATATCATCGATTGAGATTATATATTTGTCGTCAACATTGGAAAGTGCTGTAAAAACAACATCAGAACTTGTATTTTTAAGATCTTGTAAACTTTTAACGAGAAAAGTCGTCATTGTTGCAGGAAATTGTGTAAGATTTTGTTGGATGAGGCTTTGCAACTGTTTCAGCTGGTCAACCCTGCCACGCGTTAAAGCAATAAATAATTGAGTCGCTTTTTCGTTTTTTGTCTGTGCAATTCCTTTAATAAGTGGTGAAAGTGACATAGGTGATTTATCGACGAATTCGTAGAATTTTTCTGGCTGGAATTTAAATAATAAGTCCATTATATCGTAAACTCTTAGATCGATTCCATTTGACTGCAAAAACATGGATGGAACGAATCTGGGCTGGTTAAGCAATTGGATATATATAGTATTTTTGTTTGGCGAAGTTTCAACAGAACGCAAAATTTCGTGAATTAAATTAATAATAGAGATTGGGATATCTTTTGAAATGCTCTGCTTAGAGAGGATCATTACCATGTTGTTTAATAGTTTTTCTAGAATATAAGGATTTTTTTCTGGGACAAATTCGACAATTTGTGCGTACAAATTCGGTAAATCTTTCATATCGGCGTTTTGGATGGTAGTTATCATATCATTTAGCCGCTTTTCTTTCACATCAACATCTGATTTACCAAATAACCAATTCATATGTAAAAATTTAATTTTTTATATCACATGTCTTTTATGAAGAAAAAAAATATTTTAGAAAAAAAAAACCAAGATTTGATTAATTAAGACTTCATTCATAGTTTTTAATGGGAAGTTAACTTGTACTGGTCTCGATATGTTTTCCTCGTGTTGTGGGAATGACAATCGGTGAAAATATTTATTCCAGTGAAATTACGAAAAATTAATATGTTAATCTCTATGAAAACAAATAGTTCTAATATTGTGAATAGTTGAGAGGAATGATTTACAGTTATTGAAGTTCAATAGACTGAAGATGAGTGTTTTTTCAGTTTCCCTGCTAATAAATGCACATAGATATGGTATCGAATTCTTTTGGCGCAGTTTCTCCTCCGCGCTCTTTGAAATTTTATGGAACTTGAAGATTACAACCAAGAAATTTCAAAACACCACCAACGAAATACATGTTTTTCTTGTTAGTCATATCAATGAAATTTTCTATTTAGGAATCTGAGTTCGTTGGGAATTGAGGAAAATCAATAGTCTACACAATTTCACTTAAAAAACGTACAATTTTTCTTCAAAATCTATACAATTTTTTTTTCTTCAAAAATGCCTCCGCGCACTGTAGTGAGGCGCTCAGTTATTACTCAGAAGATGGCTACTAAGGTGGCCCAGTCAGCAAACCCAAGAGCCGCTGTTCCGAGTTTGTTGAAGCTCAACCAAGTTCTGAAAAAGAGGCAGAATCTGGTTGTTCCTCACTCAGAGTTACAATCATGCATTGAGCATAAAAGATTCATCAGTTCAACATATTCGGTCGGTGATTATGGCCAAATTGAAGAACTTCCTGACTTTGATAACGTCCAACCAGAAGAATACAATAACCTCTTTAGAAAATATCTTCTACAGTGTAAAGTTAAATGTAACTTCAATAGCCAACTACAAGACGTAAAAAATATTCAAATGAAAACGAACTTTCTCAATGTTATCATTAAACAAGTTTCTTCGCCAGATTTTATAAAGATCGTTGATAAAGAAACATTAACAGAGTTCTTCCAAATGCTTAAATCGAACATAATTCGTTATACTCCGCCAATTCCAGATCTCGCCCGAGTTCCGATGATTGGTGACGATATTACAGATACAATCATCGAGGCTTCATGGCCGCACCTTGAACTTGTTTATAAGGCATTCCAATCTTTCCTTGAGAACCCTAAAATGGATCCAAAATCATTTGTCGACAATATCACACAATCATTCGTTCACAGACTCATATCATTATTCAACACTCCAGATATTCGCGAAAGAACTGTCCTAAAATTGCTTGTTCATCGTCTTTACCTCAGATTTAATGTTCATCGTCCTCTTATCCGTACCGAAATGCAAAATGCTCTCTATACTTTCCTATTTGAAGACAAATTTTTCTGCGGCGTAAACGAAATCCTTGAAATTTTTATGAGTATTATTAACGGATATTCAGTACCTCTCAAGCAAGAGCATTTGCGCTTCTTCCATTCGATCTTACTTCCATTGCATGGTTCCGATTTCTACCATTCCTTTGCAGATAACTTAGCCATTTGTATCGGACAATATGTACAGAAAGATGCCTCTCTAATGGTCGACTTTTTCAAGGGACTTCTTACTTTCTGGCCGAAATCCTCTACGGTTAAGGAAGTAATGTTCATTGAACAGTTGGATCATATTTTAGAGGTTATTAGTGACGATCAGTTCGATGCAATTAGGATGCAGCTGTTCGATAAGATAGGAGATCTAGTACAATCTAACGCTTTCCGTGTAAGTGAAGCGGCAATGATTTTATGGAGAAACGATAGATTTGTTGAACTGTCTATTAAGTACTCTAACGAGATCTTGCCAATAATTACCCCTAGATTATACGCTACTGGCATGCAGCATTGGAACTCAGCTATCAAAAATTTGGCTGTATCCGTTATTAGAATTTGTATGGATTCCGTGAGCCCAGAAGAGTCAGCACAATTCAACCAGAAGGTAAAGGAAAATGAAGAAGCAAGCGCAAACCAATTACAGATGAAAAAGCAAACTTGGCTGGCAATTGAACAGCAGGCGTTTACGAATAACCCAGAAATGAGACCACAGCAAGCATAAGATCCGTTACAAATCATGATTGGTGTTTCTTTCCTAGTTTTATTAATTTGGATTAATTTTTTCGGCTCTATTGATTTTGTTATACATTATTTTGTTTTCAATATCATATAGATATATTTTTATAAATATATTTTTATGTTTTATTTAATAAAAATTTATAAATTTTTTCATTATCTTTATTTTCATTGAATATCCCTTGAATATAGTTCTATTTAAAGTTATAACAAAAGGGGGTAACCTTTCCAAAAACAAAAGCATCGACCAAAATGATATCGATTAGATTCTGTATGATGGACACAATGATGATGTATATGGGCTCCTAGAATTGTTATAACTCGCGACCTTAATACTCATATCTCTTTAGTTAATACTTTCGTTTCATGTTTCAAAGTTAGTGATTAAAAAGTGACAGTTTGAAAAATAATAAGTTACTTCTGCTAAAATAATGAATCCTGTTAATGAATCTGCCAATCCTGTTGAAGAAGAAAAGCCAAAAGAAACAACGCCACAGCCTCAGCAAAATCAAAATCAAAATGAAACTCAAAAAACACAAATCAAAAACAAACTTTGGACTCCAAGTGATTTTGAAGCAATCCATCAAATGTTATCGAAGTATTCCAAATAATTAATGGTATATTTTCGAAATTTAAATCTCGAAACTTTATATACTTAAATAGAAGTTAATGTTGTATTAGATATTACTTTATTGTACTCGGACAAATAAATACTCGTACTTATTTAGACTAAATAAAATAAAGATTAATTATTTTCATATTTTGAATCTAGAAAGACACAATTTAACTGATATTCTTTCGTATGAATACACAAGCTGAGATATATACACTGATTAATTAATAATGAAAATGAAAGTCAAAAAAATTATCAATATATTTGCACTTTTTAAGGGTAAATTCGGAAAAAGTATAAATATTCCATCATACAGTTATCTTGCATATTTGAAATATCAGGTAAAAATGGCTAGATTTCAAAATTTTTATAATATTTTATTTATTTTACAAAAAAATATTTAGAAACCACCACGAGCATATGCTTGCATTGATCTATTTCTGAATTTCTTAGCTAAATCTCTGTCATTGAAAAGATCATCAGCTTCTCCTTCTTTTCTGATGTGTAGAATGCTTCCATCGATGCATCCAACATCAGCCAATGACTGTTCAGTGTATTTAAGCTTAGCTCTGTATTCCTTATACTCAAGTACGATTTCTAATTCTTCATCTTCAAGTTCGAACATATTTTGAGCGACTTGGATAACTTTTTCAACAGTTATTGATGGCATGAATGATTCTTCTTGGTCCTGACCATCGTATTCAAGAATAACTTTTACATTCTTTGGAGCTTCCTTCTTTATACACGTAACAGCAGGTTCTCCGTATTTCTTGACTAATTCTTCCCATCGTGGATGCTTTTCATGACCATTTTGATAAACTTCGTTCGCAAAATGATTCAAATAAAATACTTCGCTGTCTCTTCTTTCTTTATCCAAGATGCTGCTGCCGTTTAGCTTCGTTATTTGTGGATAGCGAGCGATTGTAAGCATTCTGACATCAACTTCGCCTTTAATTTCTTGAATTGGGTTGCGATTAACACGAATCTCTGTCAAAGCTTTGTAATTTGTTAATGCATCGAGAGAGAATAAGTCTTCGATCTTATTCGATGCAAGAGACAAAGATTCAAGGCTTAATAATTTTCCTTCTTTGAAATCGATCTTTGTAATTGTATTATCGTTGAGGAAAAGATTCTTTACGTTTGGAAGATCTCCAATTGTATCAATTACCGTCGATAAACTTGAAATTTCGAGATTATTTAATTTGATTGTTTCAAGTTGCTTACATGTCTGTAATACCTTAAAATTACGTATAGATGTATTAGATATATCAATAATTTTGAGGTTTGGTAAGGCTTTGAGAAATATTTCAAGCTGATCTTCTTTGATATTTGTATCATTAAGTACAATTTCTTGTAAATTATACGTATCTTGTGTTGTTGGAAAGTCTACAAAGTGAAGGCATCCTAATGTAAGGCATTCAATGTTCTTTCCGAGTTTTAAGAGATCCCAAATGAATTGGAATGATCCTACAAGGGAGCAAGCGACATTAACTGTTTTAACAGTCTCTGGGAAGTTATCAAACTCGCCTACTTGGTCAACATTTGTTGAATCCAAGGATAATGATCCACCAACCAAGGAATATTCGTGTATTATTTCAGAAATTTTGACGCCCTTTTTAACAGATGAAGCTCTTAAGAATGATCCACTGTTAGGAACTGTAACATCAAAAAGCTTTTGACCTTTATATTCGCCATTGTGCTTTCCACGTGATGGATCATCCCATTCGACACCATACCAGTCATCTTCGCCACCTTTACTATCAACTAGTCGACCTGACCAGCGGATTGTAGCACAATGATTATCAGTTGTTCGAACTCTTTGCATAATGACAAACGTGCACATAAAATTCAGGGGATCGTTTTAATTCAAATTTTGATAATAAGTTAAACCCCCAATAAATCTTAAATGTTCAAGCTATTTTACATATAAATAGCCCGGACTCACGAAATAATTTATTAGATATAACTCAATAAACAAAATGAAAAGCATTACTCACCTAATTTTATAAATTTACAAGATTATTAATATAAATTTTTTAGAATAATCCAAGAGAAAGACCTTCACTAAGTTGTATTGTAAATAATGAAAGATGGTATCGGTAGTGGTCTCTCTTTTTGCATGTGAGGATGCTGCACGGCCTGATACAATCACGATTAAAATGGCAATCTGTATAAAGATGTTCGAGGAATGTTTCATTCTTGTTCTCGATATCAATTCCGCACGTAAGACTAACGCAGTTTGAAAATGCGTTATCTTCGATGTTTTGAACGCAAATAGGAATATTTATGTGAGTTAGAGATGTACAGTCAGAGAAAGCATAGCGGTAGATAGTTTCGACTGAGTCATCAGGTATTAGTATGTTTATTAAGTTCTTACAAGCAAGGAATGCACCGGCAGAGATATTTCTAATTGTCGATGGTATATAGAAGAATTTGGAAGGAGATGCAGGAGGATAGCAGACAAGAACTGTCTTGTTCTTGTCGAATAGTGCGCGATTCCCAACTGAGAAGTAATCGCTCTCGTTGCAAATGAATTGACGAATTGAGGTGCATCCTTGGAAAACAAAGAATCCAAGTGAATTTAATGAGCTATTATCACTAATTATGAATGTTTCAAGATTCTTGCAGCTTTTAAATGCATAATCTGATATTGTTTTTGTATCGCGTGGAATTGTAATACTACTGATATTTGTCCACTCAAATGCATTTAACCCAATACTTTGGATAGAAGAGGGCAAATTGATGTATGTAAGATGATATGCATATTGAAAAGCAATTTTCTCTATTGATGAAATTGGAGGATTTCCTAAAAATGTGATATTTATAATGGAAGATCCTTTAAATGCATTTGTACCAATATGAGTAATTGCTTCAGAAAATTCGATGGATCGCAATCCACAAAATTGAAAGCCTTCATAATGAACATGGGAGATATTGGTTGCTTTAACATATGTTAATTTCCAACAATACAAGAAAGCGTTCGAATATATTTGCGCTCCTTTGGACTCAAAAATAACAGTATGAAGCCGACCACACCCATAAAAAGCAGCAACATCAATTTTTTTTATATCTCTTCCAAAGCGAACTTCTTCTAAATTTGAGCTCCCTGAACAACCATATACCTGCAATTCAACTAAAGTGTCAGGAAAAGATATGTTTTTTAAACTGTGACAAGATCCAAATGCACCACCTCCAATGATTTTCAAATTATTTGGAAAACTAAAATCTTCAAGTTTTTTGCAATCTCCAAAAGCTCCGTCTCCAATTTTTGTTAAACTTGAATTTGATGGGAAAATAATTGTTTTCAGTGATGTGCAACCTCTGAAAGCATTATATCCTATTTCTGTAAGTGAACTAGGAAAACTAAAATTCGTTAAATTAATATTATATGCAAATACATCATCGCCAATTTTTGTCAAACAAGAATTTGATGAAAAATTAATAGATTTTAGAACTGAGATCCCTTTGAATACACCTGCTGAAATAAATTTAACTGTTTCTAGAATTTTATATGATTCCAGCTTGCTAAATCTGGCATAAATTATTGTTTTCCCACTATCATAAAGCAATCTTTGATTGTCAAATGAATAATTTGAATCTTCAGCGAAGTCCAGCTCAGCATCAACTGGAAAGCATGCACCACCAATAGTTTTAAGACTTTTTGGCAGTTTTATATATTTCAGATTTACACATTCAGCAAAAGCTGAGCTTTCAATCGTTGTAATATTTCCAATGAATGTAATATTTGTAATACTTGAGTTTTCGAAACATCCTTGAGGAATTTTCGTGATGCCACTTCCTAGAACAACTTTATCGAGATATTTGCAGTTTTTAAACGCATTATTTCCAATAGATGTGACGATGTCAGGAATAGTGATATTTCCGATATGTGATCCAGAAAAAGCTCCACCACCAATACTCTTTACTCTTGAATTGAATGTTATGTTTTCTAATGGCAAATTAGCGAAAAAAGAACCAGGAATTGACTCAATCAATTCTGGTAAAGTGAATGAAGTGAAATTGTTTCGTGTTTTCATGAGAAACCTCGTCCTTTGTTTGTTATATAATATTCCATCTTCAAATGTAAACCATTGATTTTCTGGATCGCAATTTATTACTTTGACATTTGAACTTCTAAAGGCTCCAAGATCAAGAGTTGATACATCTTTTGGTATGTATATTTCTGTGAATGATGTTCCAAGAAAGGCAGTGTCTTCTATCCAAAATAGTTTTGAATCAGGCTCGATAATTAATGTCGATAATAAATTACAATACATAAAACACGATCTTCTTAGATGTGTAATTGCATTTGGAATGTGGAATGTTGAAAATGGACATCTTTGAAATACATATGCTGAAATCTCAGTTAGTTTTTTTGGAAGATAAATCTGCGATAATGAACTTTCATCAAAGGCATGGGATTTGATTTCTGATAGATACTCGCAGTTTGTGAAATTAATAGTTGAAAGTCTTGTACAACCGTAAAAAGCAAATTCTCCAATACTTTCGAGCAATGAATCTTGTGGAAATGTGACAGATAATAGAGTATCTTTGCTCCCTTTGAATGCATAATTTGTGGCAATCGGATCACCTTTGATAATTTTGCATGTTGGTTTAAGAATAACATGAACACTACGATCTGTAGAAAATAAGACGCTATCTTGATTGATATATGTTTCACCTAATACTATTCTCTAGCTATCATCGATAGCTAAGCAAAAATTTATCTCAATTTCTGAGGTAAGCTAAAATTTAATTTCTTTAAAATTAACACACCATTCTTAATCTCAAACAAATTACACTTGGATCTGAAAATTTGTTTCAAAATTGTGTGGAATGATTGTGAGTTTTGGCCAAATATCGCCATTCTTTAAACGTGTCTGAATATTAAAAATATTAGATCTTGACTCAAAGATTTAGAACCTTAAATTATGGGTGCGAAGACTGTCTTTGATTTCTAATTTTATTTTAATTTCCAAGCCAATTGTTCTAGTCTTTGAAGGATTCTACGATATGAATATTAGTCTAAATTCTTCTTTTTTCATATAAATTTTTATGTTGCTATGAAACCATCATGTAAAATACGCACAAGTTTCTTTATTTCATTTACAAACAATTTAATAGACTGTATTAGTGATATTGATATAACTGATTGTCCTTCAAAGCAACTAAAATTTCAGATTTCTTCTTCAATTCGAATAATATCAATTACATGTAACAAAAAACCAGTATTTTATAGTCGTCAAAGTACTCAAGATGAAGATGACAGTACAAATTTAATTATTTTCGTTCCAACGGGTTTTAAAAATTTGATTTGGTCGCCAATTCCAAAAATGAACTCAAATCCTACCCATAATCTAAGCATATGCATCAAGTATACGCTTTTGTCCTCACATCCATCATTATTTTGGCGAAATAATTTTTGTTGTACAATGAACCATGCATATGGCTCTGCCGGATGGCTACCTTTATATATAACAGAAACAAATTCAATATATGAATCGATCACCGTTTCATCAGACCTTCCTAATGCAACAATTTTAGGTCCAAATTCGAATTTTACAGAAATACGCCTAAATGGGCATCCAGCTAAGCAATTTGATGTTTCTTCATGCACAAACTACGATTTTCTAGGCTGGGTAGTAGGAATAATTAATACAGTTACTGTAAGTAGACTGATTTTTTACTCATTAGAAAATTTAGATACTCAGAAGCTTTCTTTCCTCAGTAACTTTGATAATTATGTTCCAAAAACAATATATCCGTTTATATTTCTACCAGATATAAATTCAGATATGATTTTAACAAATGGATATTGTATTTTATCTACAAAGTTCCTTTCAACGTATTCTGACTTCAATTCTTTTATTCCCATACCAACAACATACCATTTAGTTGCAGCAATTTGCTACGCTCTTACTTTTAATGAGTATGGACGAAATATTTACTTTAAGCCATCATTAACATGGTTCTATGTTGGAATGATGAGCTTTGCAGCATCAAATAATATGATTTATATACTCGGAAGTAACGAAATTGATGCTTATAACTATACATTGCTAAGATATCTTTATAGAGCAGGTAAAATAGAGAAAGACTATAATGAATTCAAAGCATTTGAATGGAATATACAAAGTAAGCATCGAATTCAAGCTTTGTTCATTGTAAATGTCATATTTACTTTTATTGATGAAAGTAAATACGATTCGTTCATTAGAAGTATACCAGAATATATAAATTATGAGATACTTATTAATTATTTGGCCCAAGTCATTGAAAATCCAGCTGATTTCATTGATTTCTGGTTATCTCCGAGAATATTACCAGTTATAAGAGTCAATTTCGACTACGAAATTAACAAAAAGTTTAAATCCCTCGGAAATGCTAATGTTATGACATTTTTGCTCACAAAAAGTGACTCAATTCCAATATATGCATCTTGTACTATTAATTTCTTTTGCCAAACTGTTGGATACATCGAAGATGTCATATTGAATCTGAATGGCGAAACAAAAACCTCAATATCCTTCCATAAAAAGAGAATTAGAAAAGTTTCGTCAAGTTCCCAACCAACACCAGTAGATTCCATATTGTTTGCATTAATAGAATCGAATCCAAGGATACCTGTTATATTTCTTCATGATTTTAACCCAACTTTCCTGGTTAATATTGTTAAATCATATAAGTCCTCAGTTTTCTCACAACATGAGGCTTTAATGTCGCTAAACAGATTTCTTCTAAATTGCGGAGAAGAAGGAACTGAAGTTTTGGATTATTTCAAAGAAATTCTTGATGACAGTTCAGTTTTTTATTCTTTGAAATGCCATGTTTTGAAGATCTTGGCTGATATTTGCTTCCAAGAGAATTTTAGCCGACTTCAGGAAGTTTCGAGGAAAATTTTTGTTGATTTCTTTCTCAACAAGATCGCAGCGCCTGATTCGCTTAGCTTACAAGATGTTGATAGCATCCATCCGTCAGTTGTCATATCTGTTTTTGATGGTTTGGTCAGATTTGGTCAAGTTAACGGCAGATTTACTTCCTACGACTATCTGATGAATAGTGTATTACAATCTAGTGGAACTATGCTAGAACCATACTTTATTCAACAGCTAGAAAACGTTCACTTATTAAATAAAAAAGAATCCAAGGAATTATCCTCTTTTTTATTAGAAATAATAAAAGGAACGGAAGACCCAATGCTTCAAATCATCGCTATCAACTCTTGTCGTAGGTTTTGTGATAAAACAAAGCCAGATATCAAAGAAGAGCTAGTGAATACGTTTCTTGGCATTATTGATAACAGAAGTCTCCATTCATCTGTCAGACAGGCCATTGCAAGACTAATTGTCTCAATGCAGCCAGAACTTTCTGCAATTGCAATGTTAACTGTAATAAATGGAGAATTTGAAAGTGAAAACCCAGACTATTTGTTAATAGAAAATGTCCTCTCTTATTTGATCTACGCAATTCCTTCTTGGGGAGATTTTGTGAAAAGAGCAACGAGAGAGCATTCAAATATGAGTGACATATTTGAATACATCCGTATAATAATGGGATTTTCAATGAATGCATATACATCCATAGCTTCTAAGTGCGAAAAATTATATAATATTCTTTTTGAAAAGAAATGGAAGATCACATACATCCCTGATGGATTGATCAAGTCAACAAAGATTGACTATGCCAATGATTTTGATGAAGGATTCTTTTCCGATGATAATCTTGATTGAATCATCATGTTTTTATTGTTTATTATATTTTTGTATTTAATAAAGTGTATCTTATTGAGTTTTGAATGAGATTCGATTCTTTACAATTACAATTTTATTCTTGAATTTTCGGACTTATAAAGATTCTGAAAAGAAAGCCTTTCAAGAAGCTAGGCTCCATGTGGATACATCAAACGAGTGAATAGTATCATATATCAATGCCATGGTCGTTTCGAATAAAAGTGGTTTATAAAGGGTCAATTTTTATTGAAATTGTGTTTAACATCTTCTAACTGATATTTATGATATTAAAAATTACATCAAATCAAATTTATCCGAGCAATTTTTTTGACAATAAAAAAAATTAATTATTTTCGAAATGAATTCAAAAACTCTCTTTCGGCCATTATTAATACCATTTTTTCTTTTGTTAACAGTTGCTATAACAACAATGGTTTTAATATTGAATGTTAGACAGCCTATAATAGAAGAAATTAACACCGAAAGAGAATTATTCATTTTAAATCGACAAAGGCCATGTACACTAGACAGAAATATGGATTTAATAGGACCACCAAGTTATATCCATGAAATAGGTACAAAAGAATGGACAGATATTGATTTAGAAAATAAATTGTCAAAAATTGACTGGAGTGAATGTCCAAATTGCGATTTAATACACAGACCGACAAAAGTAAATTCAACCAGCAGGGATTTTATCATTGTAGCTATGATAAATTGTTCGAATAATTTACAAGGATTCTTAAGATCGTTGAGATCGACGGGATCAAGAGCCATGGTTGTCCTATTCTGCGATGAATTAGCGATGAAGCAACTTTCCGATTTTCATAAAGATTTAATTCAAAAATGCGGTGCGATATTGATTAATATCGGTAAAATGCCTACAAAATTCCTAAAGAAGCCATTCGAAAACAGGCATCCACTTTTCTACACATTTTTATACAAATATCGAAAATTAATCGACAGAGTCATTATGGTTGACTTATTAGATGTTTACTTCCAAGAGGATCCGTTTACACCTGATTTTAACTCTTCCACTTTCGCGGCTACTACAGAAATGGTCAAATTTTCAACTTGTCCAATAAATACTGAGTGGATTTCAGTTGCAGATCCTAATTACGATCCATACTTTTATGCAGACAAAACACCTCTATGTTTTGGAATGGTATATGGCTGCATAACTTGCTTCTTGAAATTTTATGATATAATATTTAAACAGAAGCCATGGAAGAACTTCCAGATCAGTACAATTGATCAAGGATACTTGAATTATTACTTTTATAAAGGAATATTCTCAAGAAATGGACTTTTTGTAGCTGGATCGAAAGCTGGAGATAAAATTATCTCAACAAGAGGAGGAAATGTTTCCTCTAAAGTTGGACCATATGGAGAAATGCTCATGGAAGGTTCTGACAACGTTCCTGCAATTCTCCACCATTATAACAGGCATTGCAAGCTTTGGCAGGACATTCATAGGAAATGCAAGCTTGTTGGATCGGATAGTAAAGCATATGCAAAACAGAAGGAGATGACTGAAAAATGTCCCCTTCCGGATTAGTTTTATTTGTTATTTTGTTGTTGTTTTGTAAAGATATATATTATATAGTCTAACATAAAGTTTTGGAATCAATATAGTAGAATTCAAAATTCAGTAAATTAATTCTAGATTCAGAGTATTTATATAGAGCAAATATGGTTCACTTGATTTAAAACTTTTTGTTCTTACATATCTAAGAGTCAAAGAAGTAATAAACCTCATCAAAATAAGCTGTATTTTACCTTATTAGATCTCGATAGGATTTGGTGTATTTTGAAGTATACCAATGGATAAACAAATCTGAGGTGGCCTATAATATAGCCAGTCAATAGTATCTTGGTAGATTTCATTAGTAAATATCTTTTGATTTCGCAAAAATGGCACACATAACTGCCTTAATATTTTTATACTTAGTGATTTTGTGAGAAAACGAATCTTTATTTCATTTTTAATGTGGAAGCGATTGATTTCTTTTGCCTTGTATCCTGCACTCATGGGAATTACTCTTGTTTTGTTGATGGCACATCAGTATATGACAACAAACTCAGGAATAATTCCTCTAGAGCCTGGTTTTACTGAATTTAATTATTCATCTGATCCAAAGTATATTGTGCAAATCTCAGATATTCATTATTCGCCATGTTATGACACAGAGAACCCTCTTCGAACAGTTTTCTCCATTGCTCAAGAACAATTAAAATCAGATTTCGTAGTTTTAAGCGGTGATATGACTGATAACTATAACAAATGCACTAAACCTGCATGTTCATCCCCTGTTCTTGATCATTGGATCGGATATGAAAGAGCTCTCAATGCATCTAAACTAGATCAGGAAACAATATTTGAAGTTCTAGGAAATCATGATATGTGGGGAATTTATGAGTTCAATGAAAACCAGTATTGTTCAAAATTTGTCAGATCTTTCAACAAAAGTAATTTTTATTCATATTCACAAACAAAGAATGGACTAAGAGTTGTAGCATTCCAGCCACAAGATTTCCCATCTGGGCATGGTCCTAACTGTTTCATGCCTATATACAGAAGCCACATGATTGATAAATTCCAAGAAGAAATTGAAAAATTAAATGATGAAAAAATTGACACAATTGTTGTGAGTCATTTCCCAAGAGAAACATGTTTGAATTTCTACACGAAGAGTAAGAAAGGTGAAACATTTTCTTCCCTATTAAAGAAGCATAATGTCCTTGCTCATATTACAGGACACACGCATCCAAAAAGAATTGAAGTTCGTCACATCGATGGAGATTATGTTGAATTCACTTCTTCAGCATTTAAGAGAGTTCATGGATTTGTTTTGCTTACTATTGATAATGGGCAAGTCAACTATGAGTTTAAAGACTTGTATTATGGAAAAGACTACGCAATATTGACTTCACCTTCGCCTTCAAAATTCCAAAGATTTACTTTGAAAAACGAGAAAATTCCGATAAGATTGATATCATTTTCTGGCTCTAAGGATAAGAATTTCACAGTTAGTGGTGCAGTTAATGGAAAACTATCTTTTGAGAAGTTTCTTAAAGAAAATGTTGCGATTTATTCACTGAAAAATGCTGCATTCAAAAAAGGTGAAAATTACCTGAAAATTTCAGGAGATTATGACTATGAAATGAACTTAACAGTTGGAACAACAGCGGGTCCATTCAGAGAACCTCGCATTGTTAATGTTTCTATCTGGTGGATGCATCTTATCTCTTTCTTCTTTTATTCTTATTTAGTTTTAATTGTTATCGGATTTTGGAGAAAATTTAATACGAAGGGACATGAAATTCTATTGGGACCACTAACAATTGGTAATATTATATATCAAACAAGGTTTGATTATAAGTTATTGATGACAATTTTCTTTGTTTGGCCTTTCATTTTGCCAACAATGTTCTATCAGACTCAAAATAGACTGTCATCACTTTGGATCTTTGGAATGATGGTTTCTGGACGTGTATCTTTTGACTTGTTTGGTTATTTGGCTGTTATTTTCTATCATGTCACTGTATACTTAATATTTATTGATGTTTCAGTGTTAATTGTCAAACAAAAATTCGCTTTTTCAAAGATATGGTGTGACTTATTTATTAACACATTTTTGTTTTTACTTGGTTCATTATTCTGGTATAGATATGGTACAGATATTGGATACAAATATTACTGGATATCCTCTTTTACTTTCTCAATTATTCCAATTTGTTTCATATTTTTGGCAATCTCAGAACATAAATTCAACAACAGAAGATTTAAGATAGATTAAGAATGTAATATTTTGAATTATTGTTGATTTCTATTTGATTTGCAAAAAGTTAGAATATTATTTATTGTATTTGCACAAAAAGTATTTTTATATGTTTTTATATATCAAAATTTATGTTTTCATGTGATTTTCTGAATCATAAACGAATAAACATCAAATTTTTACAAAAAAATAATCTGATAGCTTCATAGTATAGGCGAATATGTGCTCAAATAGAATGTCTTTGAGTGTAACTTCGTCATTCGAAGTCTACATTCATAACAACAACATGATATTAAAAATGCGTATAAATTTTCTGTTGTTTATCTTCATTGTCATCATAATTTCATCAGTCAATATCATCCTGTAATTATCTATGTAAAATTTCTGTTCTGTATCGAAATCATCGAAATTTTTCCTTTTTGATTTATTTACTATCTCTCTCAATGATATATTTAAAATGTATCCTGTAATTCAAACTATCATGTAAATTAAATATGCAATTAATTGAAAGCAATTTAAAAAAGAATAATGAATTCATCAAATGTCATAAATTTATGAGGTATTAATTTACTTGATATGTGTTTTAAGATTTATTGATCTTATTTGCATTTTGATGAGAAAAATTAATCTGACTTTCGGATTTACTATTTTTTTACGCAATTCTATTTATTTATATAATGTATGAGCTATAAATAATATATTTTTATATTTAATTCAAATTGTTGGATAAAATGACGAGTTGGGAAATTGAGAAGAAGAATAGCTAGTGCAATTGATTTTATTGCGAATTTAAAATGTATCATCATATTAGAGATCAAATCTTTCATTCATTTAAGTTAAATTTTAAGGAGTCGTTAGATTAACTCATTGAAAAAAAAATTTGTTGCACATATATTTATGATGAATTAATACTTAAATAAATTTGAATGTATAGAAAAAGGTGCAAAAATGTTCTTTTTCAAAATTAAAAGCAAAAACAATATATATAATGTATTTTACTGGTGTTTAATTTTGAATGCTTCTCAAAAATCTCAAAAATATTTCTGTAAACTTATCAAAAACTGGTATAGTTCTAGAACAATTCATAATATTACTAAACACTCTGTGTATATTTAAATTTTTCATTTGAATAAGAAAAATTCATCGGGAAAAAAACATCAATAAAAAATGAGTTCTAGCTATTCCTCCTCTTATGATTCTTCCTCTTCATCATCATCATCAAAAAGACCAAGGGCTTCTAGGCGTATCTCAGCCGCCAAACCACCACCACCACCAAAACCTCAAAAAGATTCCGACTCCGAATTATCAAACCTTTCAGACGTATCAGATAGTTCTAGCGGAAAGCCTGCCTCAAGAAGGCAACAATCATCTAGCATTGATAAAAATACAGCAGGAGCAGGTGGATATTTCGACAATAATCAAGATATGATGGATGACGTTCAAGAAGGAGCAAATTGGTGGCAAGCTACAAACTCTCTTATGTCACGCGTAAATCAAAGAGACACGAAACCAGTGAAAGTAAGTAGTTTCCAAGCTCCAGCTTACGATGATCAAAAAAGTAGTTCAGGTAGCTCGGATAGCTCAGATTCTGGATCTAAGAAGAGATCTAAAGATAAAGGTAAAGACAAAGACAAAAAGAAAAGAAAAGAAAATAATAAGGCTAACGACAACGCCAATGCAGCAAATAACGAGCCACTTCAACTCAACCAAGAAAGCGATCAAAAGAATCAAAATGACGCAGTCATTGACTTTGATCCAACAAATGTTTTCAATGGAAAGACGTACAAAGATACAGAACAAGATTTCCTCCTGATGGATGTCAGAAGCCCTCTAATCTGGACCATTGGATTCTTAGTTCTCGCATTAGTTCACATAGTTCTTACATTAGTTGTCGCGAAATTCAAATTCAAGACAGGACAACAAAACCCATACGTCGGAGTTACATTGCCATTCTTATTAAAGGGTGGCGCAGCCTATTCCCAGTGGATAAAATCCGGAGATTGGTGGAGACTCTTCACATCCATATCATTACAACCAGGTATTGTTCATTACGCGGTCATGATCATTTGTATGGGCCTTCTCTACGAAGTTGAGAGGTTTAACGGCTTCTGGGTTGCAATGCTCCTCTTTTTACTCAGTGGCTTATACGGAAACGTCTTTTCTTTACTCATGGTCCCAGATACAATCATTTGCGGTGCAAGCGGATGTGTTTCTGGATGGCTTGGCTTCTCATTAGTCAGATTATGTGCAAAATTCTCGCAGAAGAGACGTATTTGCTATTTAATCACAGAGATATTGATGCTTGTTGTTCTTGTATTCGAAGGACTCCTTCCTTTCATCAATAACTTCCAAAACGTCGCTGGATTAATTCTTGGAATTTTGATCTCATTCTCTTTGCTTCCAAACAACTCAAGAACAAAGTGCCGGACTATTGCACGTGGTATCATCGCTTTCTTGTCATTCCCAATCATGATTATCATTTTCTCTGTCGTTGTTGTGTTTTATATCAAAGATTCGAACATTTCTACAAAATGCAAGATCTGTTCTCAGATCGATTGCCAGAACTTCGCTAAGATTCAGTGGTGTCCAACTAACCAAGATACTTTATCTGCTGTTGCTGCTTTTACGGCTTGAAAATAAGTAATTTATTATAGATTTTATTAATATTGTTTATTTATATTTATATTTTTACAAGTGAAATAAAAAAAAATTGAATTTTTTTATTAAATCTTTTTCTAATGATTTGTTTCAGTGTGTATGCATTAGAAAAGTTATATTTTATATCAGATTATTACATTTCTTGTGTCTTTAATAAGTCAAATTCAATATCAAAAAAATTATTTCTCAGACGTTTTAAAAAAGTTAGATCACATATCAATTGTTTATCTTTCTGATGTAATAAGGGTTTGTATCGATAGATTCGGCTGCAGAAGAATATTTTTGATAATGATATGCTTCGAATCAAAAATAATTAGAATAATAAATGCTTTCTGCAATGTTTTAGGTATTTGTCAATTGACAAACTATTTCAAGTATGAAAAGGAATTTCAGATTTCCTGTTTGAATAAAACTCTCTTGAAATAAGACGAACATATCTGGATTCAATTGGATGGTATTGCATTATGATGTTACTGGTTACTTTGAAGTCTGGTTATAATAAATGAAAATAAAAATTGTGTGGGATTTCTTGCAAATAACCATAATGCATTATGATGTAACTGGTTTTGTTTGAATTGGATTTAATATAAAATTTTGTTGATTATTCCCTGAGATTATGGAATATTTCTTTGTTTGTTAGCGCATAGTCTTCCGAAATGTACACATTTGGGATATTTATGACATTCTTATAATTTTACCCTGTTTTTGGATCATATAGAGGATAATAATTTCGATCTGGTAAAATTGTTGGTTTGGAGTCGACTAATGAATCAACATTAATAGAATCATTTGTAGAGTTGCAAACGTCAAATTCCTTGCATAAAGATTCTAAGTATTGAGAACTACCTTCTGGCATCAATTTCTTATACTTTTTAGGATTGTGGGCTAATATTTGTTTAGATGTAACATCGTATTCGAATAATTCTTGGTCAATTGCTTTAATTGTTGAATACATTTTATTTTTTCTGAGAAAATCAATAACAATCTTGTAGCACATAACCCACTTTGTCGTTGACGGTGAAATAGGATGCGCTTTGAGTGTTTTTATTAAATCATTATCTGATGAATAAACGTTAAACATTGTCATAAAGACGAATTTCGATATTATCGCATTAGTAATATGTTTTTTATCGAATTCTCCATGAACTTCTGCAATGATTCTCTCTCGATTTTTCACTGTTTTCACACTTCTTTTCATAAATTCTTAATTTTTAAACGTTAGCGGAAAAAAGAATTTGTTACAATTGGATGTCTTAGAAGCAATGTTGCAGAATGATCCTAAGATAGAAAGCAGAGATTTCTGAACAATGTTAAAGAAGACTAAGGATAGTTTCCATTACACTTGTCTTGTTTGTAAGAATACTTAAAGAACTCCTTATAAATTCAAAGTCTTTTTGTTTTAGAAAAAAAAATTAGAGATTTAATGAAACATATTTTTTTATTGTGATAAGAAAAAATTTTAAACAGGGCATCTATATTACACTGTCCTGTGGCGTACTCCTTCTTTTGGGCGTCTTCTTTGTTCAATGAATGGACGTCTTTCTTCATTATGAACTGGCTTTGTGTTCAATAACAACAATGAAAGAAGAGCCATGCAAACAATGAAGACTAATACCATTAGAAGGTTGGATTTAGGTTTGTGTTTGATATCTTCCTTGGAACGTGGTTGGTAAACAATTGAATCATCTGACCATTTCTCGCCATCAAGAGAAACCTGTACAGGTACGACTGGTGGTATTTCAGTTGGAAGCTGGCATGTGAAATAGTCTCTGCATGCGAAGAGAGCTTTGCTTGTAAATCCGCCAAAACGGCAAAAGCCTGATTCAATTTCGCCATCAGAATCGAAGTTGAGGGAAACATTGATAACTCCGTTTACTGGATCGCCAATGCCTTTAACAGAAACCTTTTCTTGTCTGCAGAATGAACCATTGCCCTCATAGCCATAATAGCATTTGCATTCGCCTGGATAGTTGCAGCTTGCCCAGTTAGAGCAGCCTTTGCAGTTGTAGCAGCCTTGAACTGATCTTGGATTACCATAATCGAAGCCATCCTTGCATTTGCAATGGCCTTTGACTTTCTCTGCATTGGGACCACAGATTGGTTTGCCTTTTTCATCGTATGCTTGTTCGTAGTCGTAGCCGTATTCATCATAGCCATAAGGATTACGCATGTATCTATCATAATAATCACCCTCGGGTACAAAATTCTCTGGTTGTGATTCAACAGTCATGTCCGTGTCATCTTGTGCCTCTTCAGATAAGGCGCGGATGAGGAAAAACGCAAAAAACATTGTAATTCAATTCTGCAACCAAATACAGAAAATTTTAGAAAATTAAATACTGTATTTAATGTATTTTAGGAAAAATGCAAAAATGTTCTAAACAAATCAACTTTCACTTTTCAAAAATTGAGTCTAGTCGGACCATTGAGTCAAATTGATATGAGATATAGTCGTGGGCATGGTAAATTCAAGCATGAGAGATGATGCCAATCAATGTTTTTCTCCTTTTGATTATCGGAAATAAAAACAATGATGATATCTGACCATAGCATAGTGAATTTGTATCTCCAGGAGCATGGCATGTTTTAAAGATATAATAAACTTTGGAATCCGCAAAAAATATTGTGTAAAAATGAAATTTAAGCTAATATTGCTATGATTTACCTAGGATTTTCTTTAATAAGCTGATTTATTTTGGATTCAATAAATAGAAGTTGATTTTGCAAAGTTAAATAAAAGTGACATGTATACGTTATAATAAAATGGATTTCTCCAATTTCATTCTATCTAACGATAATAATGGATTGAAGAAATATGTTGATGATGGTGGCGACGTCACAGTAGTAGTTCTTTTTTAATTTTTGATTCATTCGGAGTTAATTTTATTTTTATAATCTTCCACTTATGACTGCATTAAGATGTAAGAATCAATTCGCAATAGATTTACTCATTGACAAGCCAGAATCACCTTTGAAAGGTAGAGATGCCAGAGGAAGAACTCTTCTACATTACATTGCTGAATACGGAGAACCAATTTTAATCGTAAAGTACTTCCAGAAAAGTTTGAATGCAAATGCTAATGAATGGAAAAATGGTGGCACCCCAATACATAACGCTGCATACGGTCCAGTTGAGAACTTTATTGCTCAGCTTAAACCTTTTGGTATCCCTGATCCCATGAAAACCGAAGCCGAAGCACAAGCTGAAGCCGAGGATGAAGCTGCTGCCGCAGAAGAGAAAGATCCGCCAGATCCAATTATCTTAATCCACGCCATGATGGATGCAAACTTTGATACGATGCAATCAGCTATTCATGGCGAGATTCCACTTCAGTTAGCTGCTGCATCAGGTAGTGAAATGAAGGTTAGACTCTTAATGGGATTTTACTCTAAAGTCTACCATCAAGATAATTGCGGATTAACAGCTTTGCACTATGCAGTTAGGGAGGACAAGCCAAAGGTTGCTGAATTTCTTTTACGTTATGGAGCAGATGCTAATGAACGTGATTTTGATGGAAATGCGCCAATTCATTACGCCGCAATGAAGAATTCCGTCGAATCAATCAAAGTTCTAGTAGAAAAGAACGCTAATCTTAACGCTAAGAATGCCCAAGGTAAAACAGCTCTTCATTTTGCTGCTGAGCTCGGCCATTTAGAAGTAGTCAACGAGCTTTTGGCAAAAGGAGCTGATCCAAATGTCCGTGATATTAACGGCTGGGCAGCTCTTAGACTTGCAATTAAGGAGCGCCACGATGAGATTGCTCAAGTATTAACTGAGCACGGCACTCGTCCATATTAAGAGATTATGTTCTTAGAAATATTTAATTACTTGGTTTTTTTAAAAAGATAACACATTATAAAAAAAAATCTAAATATATTAACTAGAAAAACATGGATAAGTATAATAACATTAACATTTTAAACATATTAGTTAAATCGATCTTCAATTCCTTTCTCTATGAATGTAAGTATTTTCTGTTCGACTTTTTCGATGATTTCTTGTGGAATCTTTTGTCTAGCTTGATCAGCTATCATGTCATAAATCTTATCTGGATTAAGTTTGGTTATGTCTTGAGTAGCTGCGATTTCTTCTATCATTTTTCTGATATTTTCCTTCCATTCAATAATAGAAGGATCTTCATTAATTTCTGCGCGAATCTTTTTTGATTGTCCAGAAGATTCTAATATTGCTTCAGCTTCAGCTTTGATTTCTGACTCTGATAAGCTCTCCCATTCAATCTGGCTCATTTTTTGAATTTTTTATATCACATGTCATTGATGTAGGCTTCTGCAAAATGGCACAATTTTTGAGATTTTGTGCCAGCCAGTGGCTTTTTCGAATTTTTGTGAAAAAAATCGTGCCTCGTGCAGTGGAAAGGATGTCGCCCTTCGGGCTCCACCCTTTCCACTGCACTCGGCAAATGCACCCAAATATTAAATATGCTCATTATTATTTTTTCCTCTTTTTCCCTTTTTCTCTTTCTTTCTTCTTTTCTTCTTTTTCTCCTCTTCTTTTTCCTTTTTTCACGTATATTGGTCAATATTTTTTCTAAAATGAGAAACAAAAACTTATAATAAATCAATATTCGTATATGACTGAATAAAGAGAAAATGTTTTTACTAAATTTTTAAAGAAATCAATAAAAATATTAAATTCAATTTTTTAAAAAACATAGTTAAGGCGAGTTCCAAGGGAATTATAAGAGTAAAGTCAAAGTCGTTTACTGATAAAGTGAATAATCCGAAGATAACACATCATATCTTTAAAATTTCGGGTTTTTAATTTCTATTGGAAAATTACAAAAAGTGAGATGCGCGAGAATCGAACTGTTATTTTAGAATCATTAATATTAATTTTTATGTGGATTTTAAGCAAGGCATCATATATATGAGAAGGGTGAATATAGTTTAGCTGATTTTAAATTTTACAAAAAAATTGGGAGTATGTACGTTTATAGAATCAAAAGTGTCAATTCGCTCAGCGAAAGCTGAGCTAGCTACCTTCTCGAAAGAGCAAGTATGAGGTAAATAAGGGTGAAATAGAAGTTGACATATTCATGCTTATTCAAAAATTTTAAACAAATCGAAATTCAAAGAAATTCAAAAGACATCATTTACCTCAATTAGTATACTAGCATTATTTTGCTTCACAATGATAGCTCGAACATCAATAGATCTATTGTTAATTCTTAATTAATCAGATTATTACATTCCCCTTCCAACTTTCCCAAAGTTACAATGTGCAAAATCCCTCTACTCTTGTTTGCCTATATGGCTTGACTGTACATAAGCATACTGACTGAAAATTTTAAAAAAATATTTTTACCAAAATCCACTCCAGATAGAGAGTGATACATAAGGTTTATGAAAAACATAATTATTATGCATTTGTTTTATATTCGAATAAACATTCTTTTATTCATTCCAATATATTTTTTTATTAAAACACCAGAAACTTCATTGAAAATACATTATTTTTATTACCTCATTCATTGTATATTTCAATTGTATATTTATTACATATATTGAGTAAAAAATTGTTTAAATTTCTAATAAATTTTAACCTTCATAATAAAAACATACTCAGCAAGTTCATATTAATAATATTTTTTATATAAAAGAATAGGTTATCATTTTATATTATTATCCCTCATACGATATTTTACTACTCCCTGATCCACAAAATGTCATGGATGTAAGTTTACTCGAATAGGGCAATATTCCTTATGAAGTCTCTCATTGAATGAGGGGCTTTATAAGGAACATTGCCTTAAAGTGCTCTTACTACCCTTCCCTAGTTCTTGAAGGTGTAGGATTCTGTAATTTACTCGAATAGAGCAAAGTTCTTCCGAGGTCTCTCAGTAGTATATATGTGCGGGTTGTGTGACTTTTTTTGTAAACGTAAGAATTCATACGATATTGAACGATTTTGTATCATTTTTTCTAACATATGAAGTAAAAAATGTATGATTCTTACGGTTTTTATTCTTACGTTTTTGAATAAATCATTAAAAAATTAACATATGAAGTAAAAAATGTATGATTCTTACGGTTTTTATTCTTACGTTTTTGAATAAATCATTAAAAAAATGTATGATTCTTACGGTTTTTATTCTTACGTTTTTGAATAAATCATTAAAAAAATGATACAAAATCGTTTATGTCATCCACATTTACACTCAGCCCATACATAAATAATTTATTTGATCTTTTATAAAAGAAGCTATATATAGATGATGTCAGGTTATTCAATAATTCATTATTTTTGAATAACTGATGAGGTCACCAGGTCACCAGGTCACCAGGTAATTTAATTTCTCTGAAAAATGTGACAACATGACATTTTGACAACAGGAATGAAAGGAGGATGGTATTTATTAATTATTGTTTAAATCCTGATTGGAATCAATGGAGTCATAAACGAGTAAAATAAACTTTAAAAATAAATTGAAACTAATGATTATTTGAATTTATGAAATCAATTATTTGATTCATTCTTTCTTCAATCTCTTCTATTCTTTTTGTTAAATCATCAATTTTCATTAATGAGGTGATTCTTGATTGAGGAATAGATTTCAAACTAACCACTCCTTTTATTTTTGAAATTTTGAATCCATCAACTTTAAACATTTTATTCAATTTACATGTTGTCAATTCTTCAAATAATTTTTTATTATTAGCATAATAGTCATTAAATTCTTCAACAGATGAAAAAATTTTTATTTCAGTGATGGGTTTAACAACGTTTATTTTTTGTTGAACATTTTCACTTTCATTTATTTCTTCCTCCTCTGTTTCATTTATTTTTAAAATCGGTTTCATTTTTCATTAAATAAAAATTAGAATATAAGTGATGAAATATATTTTTTAATTAATATTAAATCAGAAATGGCGGCAGGATTCTTTAAAAAATTATGGGAAGGAATTAAGAAAGCTGCGGGTTGGGTTCATCAAAAGATTATTAAACCCATTGCAAACTTTTTGGCACCAGTAGCGAAAACGGCAGGAACTATCATAGGTGGAGTATTAGGTACTAAAGCAGGTAATCCAGCGATGGGAGCACAAGCGGGTAACGCAATTGGTGGAATAGCTGAAGGAATACTTAATAAAATAGGAGGTAGATAGTGGAAAAATAAATAAATATTATTTTTATCTTAGTATCGGTTGAAGTCTTTGATAAACTTTTTCTCCTTTATTTAATATTTCTCTTATTGGGGCGGCTTTTGGTGTTATTGATTCAGCAACGTCACTAATTGCTTCTTTATTCTTAAATATCCAATTTGCTCCTTTCTTCATTGTTTCCCAAACTTTATGCGCTCCTCTTTTTACTTTATCCCACAGTTTCTTAAATATACCTGCAGCCATAGTTGATTATTTCATTAAAATTAAAAATTCATTTTCATCTTTTAATTTTGATTTTTTATTTAATAATAAATGACGACTAACTATTTGGTGCCAAACACTAAACCGATTAATGGAAATGTGTTTCATTCATTCGAAAAGATAAATGAAATATTCGCAAAGAATGACGGTAGAAGATATTATAGAGAACTTGAAAGTTCATGCTATGACTCTGATGCTCCATATTTTGATGATAAACAAACTCATTTAAGAATTACAAATCCAGCTCATGATGTGAACCAATTAGGTGACACATATATTAAACGCAAAGTTAAAGCAACTCTAGTTTCAAATAAAGCTTTCACATGTGATGCCGCTTTTAAATGTATGCGTTTATTCGTTGGTTACAAATCATCAAATCAAAACTTTAAACAATTAGAAGTAGAAACTGAAAGAGGTGATGCCGGTTATCTTCAAATGGATTGCGCCCGTGAATCTTTCGCATTTGCAACATATAAACCAAAATCAGAAAGGAAAGTTAAAAAGTTTGTTCATTCGTTATATAATAATGTTCAAAAATATGATAACTCAGTATGTGGTAAATATATTGACCCTTCAGAAGTTTTCAAGAAAGCAAATGAAGAAGTTGATGTCACTTTTGATATGATTATTCCGGTAAATGATTTGTTAGCATTTCAGGCGTTCGATGATTATCCTAAATCATTTGGTGAAATCATTCTTAAATATTATGTTTTCAGGGATACTTTAGTATTTTGTCAGGTTGACCCGTTAAGAGTTGCTGATTTACAAAATTACGTTTATGAAAAGATAACTGATGAAAATTATGAAAAGATTATGAATCATGTTTATAAATATGATCGCAAATTCCAACAAATCGGACTTCCTGCCAAATTAATTACAAGCTTAGCCGCTACATCTGCTGACGCAACAGTTGATGATGTTATTATTTCATGCACAAAGATGGAGGTTTTAGAGGATAAATGCATTACACCAGGATATGGTTTAATTGAAGAATCAGTTAAAGCAATACCACGTTTATTCAGTAAGGAAGATCCATTCATGATTCCAGCTCAACATATTGACGTTCGTTCACTAAATGGAGGTTGCATCACTCCTGAAGGTATTAGCTCAGATTTCTCATACGCTCTTCATAATGTTACAGATGTTGTGTTAACATTTCCGAAGAATGCAATGCAAAGAACGGTTTTAGAAAATCCAATGCTTCGAGGTCTTCAGGTCACTATAGATTCCAGAAACTTCCCCGATCAAGCGATGGCCACAGTGGGTGACATATTCTTTACACGTATGCTTCAAGCTTCTGATTTAGATGGAGTGAATGAATGCACGGAAGAATACGAGGACTCATTAACTAGACCACTGAATGCAGATGATGGCACGCCATTAGCTAGAACATGGAAAGACCAAACTTCATTCTTATGCACTATTCCAGTTCAACGTGATGGAGCGGGTATATTCTTTGATGGATTAGAAACTTTCAACTCACAAGTTACAGTACAAGTGAAAGCTTATCCAATCATTCAGGGTGAAAATGACACTTACTGTTCAAAGGTGACAAATCCTCCTCAGGTTTGGTTTACTAGGACTACATATTGGACATGGACACCGGATGAAGGTTTGAAATATCATCCAACAGGTACACCACCACAGTATAGAAGTTCATATGATGAAATATTGATGAATAGAAATGTTTAAAATTATAAATTTATTTTTGATTAAATGGATTTAAATTCATCCACCCCTTATGAAGAATTAGCAGGAGTATATAATACATACGTAGATGATATGATTAATGAAGCATTGAGTGATAATAGAAATGCTCTATCTAAGGAAAAATTAATGAAAATTCCATATTCTGAATGTTACTTAAATTCAATCACTGCAGCAATTGGTAAACAGAATAAAGGTAAAACATTAACGATATTAAACCAAATTATCATTATTGCTAACACTTCCCCCTATTCACATGTGTTAATTTATATCAACCGTTCAGGTTCACCTTCAGATGATACATTTGAATCTTTAAAACATTTAATCAAAATTCCAATTATTTATTTATCACAAGAAGAAGCAGAAGATTATTTAAAAAACTTTTTAATGTATAAAGAATTATATAATACAATCAAGAAGCAAGGATTAGAGGATAAAATTATTGATAAACAACGGGATGAATTATTTGAAACACTTTCTATTTCAAATTTTGATAGAGAATTTTTGCATTCACTCATTTTTCTAGATGATGCAGTGAAATCAAAACTAATAACAAACGAGAAATCATATTTTAATCAGTTATTAACTCAATGTCGACACATTCAGTGTTCATTCTTCATGGCTGTTCAATACTTCAAAGCATTAAGCACAAACATTAAATCAAATCTATCAACACTTTTCATTTTCAGTGGGTTTAGTCGTCAACAATTGAACGTTATGCTTTATCAAGTGAATTTACCAATGAGCATTAATGAACTTTATACACAATATCAGCAATTAGGTGAACATGGAAAAATAATAGTTGATTTAAATAAAGGAAGTGTTAAATTTGATTAACTTTTTATAATTAATTTTTATTTTTTATTTATAATTAAACATGACAGAAATAGCAAATCTTCTACAGGTTCCATTAAAACAAGGGACAAACAAAAGGGGTGCATATAATAGAACTATGAAAGTTCCTGATGGAATGAAAGAATTAGTTCATATTGTTGCTGGTCTTCAAAAAGATGTTAAACAAATGAGAAACGTTTTAACATTACCAGAAGCTCAAGCATATGCCAAACGTCATGGTCCAAATTGGGAAGCACATGAAGCAGACATTACGGGTCCAAATGGAAAACCTGATGGTATAAATGAAGTTTTCGTTACTGATGGTCAAGGTAATATTAAAGTCATAAATGGTTACAAATTAAGTATATCTGATTATTCTAAACGTAAAGCATATAATGAACGTTATCCTATGCAATTTGATGAAAATGGAAAAGCTGTTAAACAATACATTGGAGAAGGTGAAAATGGTCCAATTAATTCATACCGTCATAATCCATATTCTTATTTCAATGAAGAATTAAATGCTATTGAAGAGGGACCGGATGGATTACCACGATATTCTAACCAGTTTGATGGTCAATATGCAAATATTAGACCTGAAATTTCAGCTAAGAAATTCTTTAAAGTTGCTTTATTCGATCCAGTTTTCGCAAATGTTAAAGATGAACTTAAACAGCAATTTCAACCAATTATAGTAGCAAGAATTGCATCAGGTGCTTTATCTCAAGCATTCAAAGATTTAATTAAGAAACCATTATATCAGCAACGAGGTTTAACTTATGATTTAGTTAAGGAATCAGATAAAAGAAAATTTGAGAAATCAGTTGATTATAAGAATGCAATTAATGAATATATTCGGTCTATTAATTTCGATGAAACAGCTAAAAATCAACTTCATGAACAAATACAGGGAATAATAGATTCAAAAGTTCCAGCAAAATAAAAGTTTAAATATATTTTTTTATTCGAATATAAATGAGAAGACGTTTCACTAATCAAAAGAACACTAACGCAAAAGCAGAGATTACGGTTGGTTATAACGTAAATGATGATAAATCACGAATTATTCAAAATGTTAAAGTTAATGTTAGCCCCGAATTAACGAGGTCAGCAACTCAACCAAATTTATTAACTCGTGACTTACCGAAAAAGGAGGAGGAGAATGAAGAAAACCATGAGAATGGAGACCCAATCATTTTATCTGAACCCGGTAAAGAACCTGTTGAAATTCCCACTTATCCAACATACCCCCCCTCTTTCATCAAACATCGAGAACCCATATAAAATAAACATCAATTCTGAATTAATGAAAATTTACCGTGATATAATAATTAATAATTATGATTCAATAATAAATTTAATTGACCAATCCGGTTTAATTATTTTACCTTATGAATCATTAATTCACATTATCGCCATTCTTTGTGATGTTCAAGATTCAGACGTTAAGATTCAATTTTTCATAGATGATGAGGTTTCATGCTGCGGAACAGTTGCAAAAATAAATCCTATAAAGGATATTAGCACAATTAAGATATCAAAGAATGGAACAACAACTGAACTTCATTTAACATATAATAATATTTATAATAAAATAGTTGATGAATATAAAATATCACTTGAAAAATTCTTTGTTAAGGCTATTTAATATTCAAGCATTAACATTATCGAATAATAATCCTTTGAATCATAATCAATAATAATTGACCTTTCACCAGTTTCTATCGTTTGTTTTATTTCTTTTTGTTCCCCACTATCCGGATCGGTCATTGTAATTGTTTTTGTTATAGTATCAGCTTTATCTTTAACTTCAATCTTTTTTCCATCAGGATATTTAAACCAAAATTCCAAAAATTCGATATTGTCAATCTGTTCATATTTTAATCTATCAATTACATTTTTAATACCATCTGAAAATCTTATGAAATGGTCATTATATGGGTTTGATTGAACTAAATTTGAATGAAGTGAAATATAACCTGTTGATGAATATGACATCGACTCATATTTTCTGAAAACACTAAAATTTATAACATGAATGAATTTCTTATTCGTTGAATTTATGAATTCTTGAGGTAATCTTATTCTAGTTTTATTTATCACTGGAAAATAACGCTTTACCATATTTTTAATCGTAATAAAAATGTCAATTATCAATATTATTTCGAATAATAGTTGTGAATTAAATTTAACAGTTAGTGGAATTTATAATGTTACTCTCGTTTCTGTGAGTGGTAAATTTAATCCCATTCTTTTAGACCCTTCAGATTATATATCATTTATTAAAGATGACCATGAAAAAACGTATGATATGTATATAAATAATGTGATAGCGAAATGGGATATTAACACGATTTTAAGTTATTTAAATGAATCATTTATCGTATGGTATGAAGAAAATTTTAAATCAAAACCTGATAAACTTTTTGAACTTGATGAAATAAATAACCTTATTAAATTTCCGCTGAAAATTAAATTTTGTACTCCTCATCTTCGTTCATTGTTGGGATATTAAATTTTGAAAAAGATGTTGGGGATGTTTTGTATTCTGACACCGGTTCCAATTTCATTTTAATCAAATGTGATAAAGTTAATACCCCAATGAGATTTTCACATCAAACATTAGACCCTAACTCTTACCCATCAATACAAAACATTTTATCCATCAACTTAAACACATTTTCTTTATCATATCCGTTTCAATTATCTGGGAATTCATTTATTCTTCATTCAAAAGATTTATCAAATATTAAATTTAGAATAACTGACCTATTTGATTGTGATTTAGAATTTATGAATGAAATATTATGGCAATTTCAAATAGAAAAAATAGCTGATGAGATAACGGATTAAATATTTTTAAATCATAATAAATGATTAAACAACAGCAACCACAGCAATTTAAGGCGCAAAGCACCCAGGTCCTTCAGACCATTACATACGCCATATATGCATATAATTCAAAGACGGCAGAACAAACGCAAAGGTTGAAATATGGAGATTTGGAGATAGTATTGAAAAATGAGCGTTTCGAATTCGTTTGCAAAGGTGGTGCAGTGATATCAAATATAAAAGAAATTTTATTTATGAATTCAAAAATTAAAGGATAACGGATGATATAACATCAATTCCACCAGAAGAACAAAGATATTACGCATTAAATGCATTTCCTAAAGTTTTGAAGATTGGAAGATTTAATTTAAATGAGGAATTCAATAAAAGGTTTCCTTAATGACATAGAGAAGAAGGCAGATAATGAATATGTCAACGGTGAATTAATGAAGAAAGCAAATTTGGTTTATGTTGATGAAAAAGATAATGAAATTAAAGAAAGGGTTGAATGGTATCATGAATGGACATCAAAGATTTTTAAAACTAAAGCTGATACAGGATGGGTTTCAGGATGTTTAGACCTTAAAGCAGATAAAACTTATGTTAATGGTGAGTTAGAGAAGAAGGCAGATAATGAATATGTCAACGAAATATACCAAAGTTTGATAGGAACAACAAAAAATATTGAAACTATTGTTGGTGACTTTTCTGTCAATGAAGAAAATAAATATTTTAGATGGCAATTGGTACAGTCCTTAAAAATGGTGCACAGTGTAAACTCATTCCGAAAAATAACAATGAAATGTATGTAAGCTATATAAAGAATAATGGTACACAAGTTAAAGTTCCATTAGACAACAAACTGCTACTTAAACTTATATGGAGATGAACAAAAGAAATATTTAAGAGTTTATGAAATGGTAGATATGACATTGCCTCACCCAGCTCCAACACCATATTATTATGACTATGGAGATGACGACAGAACACCACATGTAGATGAACAAAAGCTAACATTATATTTAGATTATTATAGATATAAAAGATATAATGCAATAGAAAAAACGAGAATAGTATATTATTATACAGATGACAAAAATAAATATTATAGTCAAGATTTTACCTACCCTGAAAACATAAGATTATATTATAAAAAATATTCTGACACAAACCAGAAGAAACCTGAAATAGTTGCACTATATTTTAAGTTCAAAATAGACAATCCTATATTATCTCATATGTTTGATTTAATGAACCCAGTAGGTTCTATTTATACATCTATGGATGCAAGAGGTCCTCAAGTAATGTTTGGTGTTGGTGCATGGGAACAGATTGTAGACAGGTTTTTGTATTGTGCAAACTCTTCAAAGGAAACAGGTGGAAGTAAAACAATTTCAGGTGAAAATTTACCTGCACGATAACATCTTTATCCGAAAGTTTTGATAAAATGTCTTTTCTAACTGTTTCTTTAAGTTCATCATTGTACGATTTATTGATATCAACATTTATAATCGTTAAATTTAGAATTTTATTTACTAATAAAGCCATACCAGTTTTCCTTCCTCTTCCTCCATCGTATTTGAGGTAGTTATGTAAATCAATCTTGTTTTCACCAATTCTTTCGTTAAGGGTTTTAGTTTCTGCCACAACTAATTCCTCAACTAATGAATCAATAACTTTTTCATCAACTAATGAATCAACTTTTTCATCAACCAATGAATCAGCTAATTCCTCAACTAATGAATCAATAACTAATTCATCAGAAACGATATAGTTGCTGTTGTTGTTTGTTGTTGTCATTTATATAGAAATAAAAAAATAAAAATAATTTTAAAACTAACTTTATTTTTGGACTGCATCATATTTCCACGACTGTTGTCAAAATGTCATGTTGTCACATTTTTTCAGAAATTAAATTACCTGGTGACCTGGTGACCTGGTGACCCTATCAGTTATTCAAAAATGAATGAATTGAAGAACCTAAAAACATTAATGAGGAAGGCATTCATGAAGCATTATTGAAGAACCTATGTGTTGTCAAAATGTCATGTTGTCACATTTTTTCAGAAAAGTTAAATTACCTGGTGACCTGGTGACCCTATCAGTTATTCAAAATAATGAATTATTGAAGAACCTAAAACATTAATGAGGAAGGCATTCATGAAGCATTATTGAAGAACCTATGTTGTTGTCAAAATGTCATGTTGTCACATTTTTTCAGAAAAGTTAAATTACCTGGTGACCTGGTGACCCTATCAGTTATTCAAAAATAATGAATTATTGAAGAACCTAAAAACATTAATGAGGAAGGCATTCATGAAGCATTATTGAAGAACCTATGTTGTTGTCAAAATGTCATGTTGTCACATTTTTTCAGAAAAGTTAAATTACCTGGTGACCTGGTGACCTGGTGACCCTATCAGTTATTCAAAAATAATGAATTTCATTAGTTAGAAAAATAACGCTAATTTTATTTTTATTTATTATTTCGTTTTGTATGTAAAGACAGTAATGACAAACATTGAGTTTGAAACAGTTAGAAAGATAGACAATGACACCAAAGTGGTTAGAATAGGTGATTTAAACGTAAGATACTCAAAGAAATACAACAAATATTCTTTGTCAGACATTATATCTCCATCTGAAAAGAAAACAAACGACTGGGTTAGAAATGCTTCAACTCAGAAAATTTTGACAAGAAATCCCGAGCTTATGATATCAGTAGCATTTCATGGAACAAGAGCATATCTTATAGACAAAAGTCTTATACCAATAGTTTTGTTATGGTTAGACCCAGTTGTTGGATATAACTTCATAACATATGGTTCATTCGATACGGAACGTTGCAGTGAAGGCTTACTTTACATCGTTCAGAAACCGA